CGGGTATTGCGCTCAGCCGGTTGCAGCTGACGCGATTGATAACAGACGACACGCTCGGCGCCGTCTGTATCATATTGCATCAGTGCGCAGCCGATTGCAAAATCACTGGCGTCACAGACCACATGAAATGGTCTGTCTTGATCGGCAATCGCCAATACTGGCGATTGAATCAAGCTTTGCTTGATACGTTCAAAGGAACGCTGACAGTCAGCGTTCCAGTTCCACTTTACATTTTTCTTGAGTAAACAAGAAAGATGTACTGTCATTTCGGCGTAATTGCGCGAGTACTTGTGCAAGTACGCCGCTAGCCCAAGGAACTTCCTTAGTCCCTTGACATCAACTGGCACTGTCCAGTCGGTGATCGCCTTGATCTTTTCTGGATCAGGGCGTACGCCGTTCTTTCCGACGATGCACCCAAGAAGTAGTATTTCGCTAGCTGCGAATGTACACTTCTTGAGGTTGGCGTACAACTTATGCTCTCGCATAAGTGTAAGAACTTTACGGACGTGGAGTCTATGGACTTCCACGTCTGTTTTCCCGTCCATAGCCCGACTATGGACGAACACATCATCGAAGTAACTCGGTGCGAATTCGCGCACCGGTCTCAATAGATGTGAAACACATCTATTGAATGTGGCTGGTGCATTACTAAGCCCTTGCATCACCAACCATTCCCAGAGCATACCACTGGGAGTGCTCACTGCTGTGTACGGGATGTCCGGTTCACGCATTAGGATCTGATAGAAACCATCCATCAGATCCATGGACGAAAAGATGGTACTCTTAGACATACCATCTATGATTACGTCCTTTCTCGGTATCGGCGTTTGCGCCGGTATCGTTGCAGCGTTCAACTTATTGAACGCGTGCACTATCCGCCACCCTCCTGTGGCCTTGCGCACACAGAAGGTCGGAGAGCTGTGAGGTGAAGTTGACTCCCTCACATGGCCCGCTGCTAGGCGATCGGCAAAGAACTTGTCGATCGCCTCGACCTGTTCCCGAGGCAGTGGCCACTGCTTCATGACACAATATTTTGTGCCAGGAACAAGGTCGATCTCGTGTCGAGTACCTTTATCCTTAGGTAACTCGCACGGAACGGATTCAGGGAATACATCCTTGAATTCGACCAAATCCTTATACAAAGGATTTGACTTCAGCGACTCCCAGGATTGCGATGTATATCGCTCAATCCGAGTCTTCTCATCAAAGACACACTCGTCCATTGATGAGCTGCTGAGAACCCGTTCATTCTCGGCAAAAACTGTTGCTGACCGAATGTCAGTCATGTACTCGTCCTCTGCGACGAGCACACAGATCTGCTTGACTTTGCCACTACGCAGATCACGCAAGAACCTTTTAGGTTCTAGCGTAGGCAACTGAGTTATCTCCGAAGTTAACTTCGGAGGCGCGATCAGATCAAGCGTATAAGCGCCTACGTTTGATCCGTCATTAACCAAGACGTTCAACGTCTCGGTTATTTCCTGGGGACTTATTCCCTCAGGACACTGGGGACTTATTCCCTCAGTGATCATTTCCTGGGGACTTATTCCCGCAGGCTCGATGGAACCTGTTCCATCGACTTCCTCTAGCTGTGGTGGCGCAATCACAGCGAGATCCTCTACGATCAACTCTCCAGTTGATCTAGGATTACCGTGTTGCCGCTTCTGGGCAACCGGTTTACTCTTCGGTGAATGCTGCCCTCTAGGCGAGCATTCATGTCCCGGTCCACTCGACTTATTCGAGTGGTGGACCTTCGGCGCTGCCTGTGCTTGTGCACAGCCGCCGGCAGCTTGCTCCACAGCGTGACTGTCTGTCACGCTGAGTTCTTGTGCAGTCGTACTAACGACCGAACCACAAGTGAGGCCATCACACTCACTCGTAGTACATTCACACGCATGTGAACGCTCCAAGACATTCATCAGATGGTCATCTGATGAACAAGCGGCAGGCATCTTCACGGTTCGATGCTGCCAGCTGACCCATGGCTCGTACCTTCTGAGCCATGGTAATCCTAGGATGACATCAAATTTGTCATCCAGATCAAGTACGATGAAATCATCATCGTACTTTTTGCCTTCAAGCGTGTAGTGAATTCCCACTACACGTTTCTTTACTGTTACGGATGCGCCAGTTGCAAGGCGCACCGTCATCCTCGTTGGAGGGGTCTCGCGCTCAACATATTTGAGCCTACGATCATCTAGCGATTGGCGTCGAACAAAGTTGTTCGAAGCCCCACAATCAACTAGGGCGCGAAGTGACATGTTCTTTGTCACTTCGATCTTCAATGTGATGAGGGATACCTCATCACTGGGAGCGGCAACACACAGTGACTGTGTGTTGGGAGCAACCTTCGTCAAGAGTCCCGCGAACTCTCTTGACGTTGCTGGATCAGTAGGGCGCTCCGCCCCTACTGACCCCGACCGTTTTTTGATGGTCCACCACGTTGTTGCGATTTCGCAGCAACGTGGGACCCACGTCTCTGGCCCTTCTTGGCAGACGATCGATCGTCACTACCAGTGTTACGAGACACTGGGCGTGGGGCACTACACTCATAAGCGTAGTGGCCCAACTTCTGACAGCGATTGCACTTTAGCAATCGCTTGTACCCTGGAGAGCGAGGTCGCTCGCTCTCTACATAGGAGAGGTCCATTGGTTCTGGACCTCCGCCCTCCTGTCGTCTCGGTGGACGATAGGACCCCGAGTGGACGTGAGCCTGTTGTTTAGGCTAAAGTCCTCCTGTTCCGCTGCAGAGATCGCTTGATCCAGCGATTCTTGTTCCAAGCGGAACAGGTGGGTCTTGACAGGACCATCTGTCATACCCTTGATGAACACAGTAACCTGCGTGTGTTCATCTATTGTATTAAGCACGATCAACTGACGAGGTATCGTATGTGTTGGGCGTAAGCGTGTATATCACGCTTACCCTGTTTCAAATCCAGGATCTCAGCCCGAGCCCTGAATTCGGCGCGAGGCGGTTCAAACGTGTGTTTGAGCCGCGCCTTGAAGACTTCATACGTTGGGAAAACGTATGGGTCATGCAGTTTGAGCCCTAAGGCTTAAGCTTTGGCACGTCCTGCCAAGTTCGACATGGCGAACTTGACCTTCATCGCATTGTCATCGATGCGACGAGCTTCAATGGCATCGTCGAGCTCGACGAACCATCTCAACAAGGAGTCGCTTTCGACTGCCTTGTACTTGGAGACATCAATCTTCAAGGACTCGGGTCGACGTGCATACGTCGACCCGGCAGCAACAGCACTAGCCTGCTGTTGTCTCAACAGTTCAGACTGTTGAGCACCCTGCTGCATCAACAAGTCAGCTTGTTGAGCGCCTTGTTCTCTCAAAAGTTCAACCTGTTGAGAACCTTGCTCCTCTAGCAAGATGAGTTTCTTTACAACTTCGTCAAGTTCATGTTGTATGAACTTGGCGATGGTTGCATGTTGGTCGTCTCCGCTAAGAGAGAGCAACATGGCACCAACGGCAGGGTTGCCGATGGTTTCAGCCATACGCTGAACCGCATTCCATTCGAGGTCACATAAATGGCGGAAATCATCACGCGTTGCGTGATGACGTTCATCACCCGCTGATTCCATAGCGGGTGGTGCGGTGGTCGCTAAACGGACCACGAAGTGCTACCAGGTGTAATGGGGCACCCTCCGATTATACTGATTACAGTATAGTCTACTTTCACTGATTACAGTGAAAGCAGGTGCCTCAATTACCTCTCTTACACAAGAGGCAGAGGAAGCTTTACTTCTAAACAAACGCTTAGAAGTAGGGGAAAAGAAAACTGTATTTAATATAGTTAGCTATCTGATAAAACTAATCTGTTATAACCTATGTTAACTATATTAAACTACAACTATGTATGTTGACAACTTGCCCTCCACTCATTGCGCGCGTCCATCGGTCATTGGTCAGCGCGTTGATTGATATGATGGCCCATATCAACCAATGAGAGGGCATCTCCAACTTCAAGGAGATCTAGGAACAATATTATAAGAGAAGGTAATATTGTCAAAATATTATTAGTTATAATAATATTTTTATTGACACTTCATATAAGTGTCAATATTATGTAACGGGCTCGCCCCGTTACATATATCCTGGAGCTCGATTCGCACTTGAACTTAGCTACAAGATTGTTCTCAACAGGGGGCCAAAATGTATCCCTTCCGGAACAGGTGAGTAGCTTAGAGCAAGTCCTTAAGGACGAAAAAATCATCGTGCCACGTGGGGTTTAGCTCGCACTTAAGTCCAATCACACGACTGTCTTCAACGGAGGGGGACAAAATATATGCTTCCCCGGAACAGGCATGTGGTCAGACTCGAGTTCCTTTAAGCGTGACGAAAATGTGTCAAATTTTCTTTATTCTACGTTGTCTTAGTGTTAGATAATTCCGTTCCTGCAAGCACTCCAACCGTGTAGTCTATTTCTCAGGTACTTCTAAGTAAAAAAATCTATAATTTCTTGCTCTGCTATATCTGTTCCTCCTTAGGTGCTGCAGCAACCTTTACGTCCATGTTATACCAAAGCAAGAAGACAAGCTATTTCATACACATAGCCATAGGTTATACATCAAGACTCTCTGCTACATCTTATAACCATATGTGATGACACCTCCTTGTTAACGGTTCACACTGCAAATGAGCTGCCTCACAACATAAGTATTTTATTTTCCACGCTCTACCCAATTGCTTGCCACCTCTACCCAATTGCTTGCCACCTCTACCCAACATCAAGATATACTGCGACACGCATTCCAGTTTGCTCCTTAGGATGTGGGTGACAATCATGTAGTATGATACAAACTTCCTTTTTGTAGATCGCATGTCATTGAAAAACCTTTCTTGATCCTTTATCATGCTCTCTCGTGTCGGATAAGCAATGGACTCAGAGATCAAAATAATACTGATAGCTGCTTCAACTCGACCAACTACGAAGGTGTATGAAGCTCATTGAAGTATGTAGCAATCTAGTGAAAAGTATCCTATTCGATTCAGGTAAGGTTGCCATTGCGAATCTCAGCGAGGGGTACAACTGAGGGTCGACCATGAGCACACTGGAATGGTAGCTGACACATCTTCAGTTCTGCGATGAGGTCCATGCACTGTGTCCGACTAAGGCGGTCGCCAAACATGATTGCACTTCGGCACGCACGTGAGTGTAGCAATCTAGTGATCACTGGAGGTCGAATCTTCGAATGCAGATACGTTTCTCCAGCACTTGATAAAAGCTGGAGGAAGTCTCGAAAATCGTCTACGTTGGAGACTCTTTTCTCTACCTTCGGAGTAGCATACAGCATCACACGATCACCTTCATGACCTGCTGGTTGATTGCACGCGTTTACGAAGGCCTGTTCTGGTTTTGATGCGATGAACTCGAATTCAAAACCCCAGTCTTTTACGAGTTCTTCGTTGTACCGCAGTGCGTCGCGTTCTTTGGAATTCACTCGTAAGGCTAGCGGTGGATCATGGTCATGGACTTCCACCCGACGAAGAGACCCATCGTGACCAAACATGTCAGCCTCCAACTTCTCCAAGAGTACGCGTTCATCTGCTGCATGCTGGTCGATGCAAAGCAGCAACTTGCCTTGAGAAGTGTCTGCTTGAACAAGAATAAATTTGCGATCAACCTGACAAATCACCTGCAGCTTCGCGAGTGTAGCCTTGCTGATCGTCACGGCGCGATCTCCTCCAAAAACTTGAATATTATCGACATGTAACGCTGCAGCAAAACGTTTGACAGGATATGACTTGGAGCTGCGCCAATGTTTCAAAGATTTGTTTGCTGGCGGCTTCGCCGTACTCATCGAAAAATAAATTGACGTGACGCAATCAACTGATGATGCCTTGAGTAATGGACAAGCGTTGTCATTATCATGCGTTTGTTCCAAGATAACACGCTCCACTTGGGGATCCTGGATCGGCTGCTCAGCTGCATTCGAGCAACTCGCATCTTCCGAGCGGTTGACATCCTCGCTGTAAAGATTGTCCTGGCACAAGTCAAACAGGACTTCTGCACAGTCGTACGTGTCCGGTTTGCTACTTAACCATGGTTTCGTGGAAAACCGAATTTTCTCGTTCTACGTCATCAAAGTTATTAGACAAAGAGCTTCGAACGAAACTTGACGTCTTACCTCATCATCATCAGCTCTTCTTGTCGGCTTCGCAAACGGCGGGGATGGCTCGCGAGAAAAGAAAATATCTTCCAAATCACCTTCCCTTCTGTCAGTGCCAGCATATTTTTGAGCAGCATCGCTAGAGACGACGTCAAGAGACGTTTCTGACATTTGACAAGCTGCTGTAGTGAAACCGTAGAGTTCCTCGTCAAACTGCAGGTCGTTTTCGTCAAATTCGGTATCCTCGCTAATACAAGAAGTAGCAACACTTGTAAACATTTAACGACTATGCGTGGCTCACAAGGTGATACAAACAGCAATAGGGTGCTTCGCAAACTCTTACCTGTCATTGTCGACATAGTTGAAAGGTTGACCCATATTGTAGCTCTCGCTAGACCACATCGCACAATTCTCAGCCGCACATGCTACCGAAACCTCGTCGTAGTGTTGATAAATATCGCTCTCACAGGCATCATAATCATAATCGTGGGTTGTCACGATGTCATCCGGAAAAGAAAAAGTGCTTAGCTGGGTAGAGTCGAATTTGTTTGGTAATGGATCATAAGCTGACTGATCCATGGATGCCTTATGTGAGAGTTCTTCGCAGCAACTTGACTCTTGAATCTAAACATCAACAATGATTCAATATTGAAGTCCAATCAAACGCCGAAACATATTGCTGTACCTTGACTTGATTTGCTTCAGCAGTAGCTAATTCCTGAAAAAGCAGATTAGTTCCTCAGCTATTGATGGGGGTATACATGTCAATTTACCTGAACGAATTGACAGAGAAACTTCCGGAACTGATCAGGAGCCTTAAACCGTACGCGCTCTTTCCTTCTGATTTCGCAAGCATCAAAGTGATCGCTGGCTGTTTCAACTTTCAGGACAAAAATGGGAATGGCTAAGAAAAACACCATAGCTTCGTGAGGATGTATAGCGAGGCAAAACATGCTGCTGTCTAAGCTTATGGGTACCCGATGACAATGCCAGAGCAGCTTCCGTTATCGTTCGCGAGCATACTTGATGGCACTCTTCATCCCATTCGTTGTTTAGAAACGCAAACTGATAGTAACTTTTGGCTTGCTTGATTCCGTGTCCTATTGCTTCACTTGCATCAGGAATAAAAGCGAAGTATCCCTGAACCGAAAACTGGGCCGTCTCTGACGAAAAGCTCACGTACTAAACGCAACAGAAGTGATTTGATCATCAATATGCTTGAAGCGTGATAAGGAATATAGCAAACCCCCTTACTTGCAACTGATTTCCAAGCAGATGCCCAAAATGCTCTATGAACCGCTCGCGACAGGATCTAGCTGCAGGAATTGTTACCGGCCTAACTTTTTCACCTGGATAAACCCAGCAATTATCAGTTTCAGTCCCGGGCATTTATCCTGAGAAGTGTTGACCCTATGGCGTACCTTGAAATCGGATGTCAAACGATAGTGATGGCCATATCATCGACATGCTCACGCAGAAATTCTGTATGCTCTGGATCACTCGGTTTCGACACTTCATGTTGCGCGATAAATACTTACGCCGCACAGGTAGCATGCGAAATAGATTCGACACATATACCGTTGTCCCCGGTATCTCGCGTAGACTTTTTGATCTGGCATTCAAGACAACTTTTCCTTCCTGTTGTGATCGAGAAGAAAGTATGGTGTGTGACTACAATGCTGACAAGAGCAGAGAAATACTAACCTTAAAGACTTTGCGATAAGAAGTCCAGTGCTCCTGGACACGGCTTTCAATCTCAACGCTAGAAGCAAGTGAGTTTAACTCGTAAAGAAAAGCACCGCGAGAACCGTAAGGCTTCTGTTGTTTCTGCTGGTCGCCTTTCCTGTTCGATATCGGACGCTTCGACGAAGCTACACATGATTACAATGAGCATCGTGAGAAAATATCAGCATACACTCATTGAATCGGGTCTTGTTACCGTAACACTCCCCGACGTAGGTGTATAGATCATTTGGCCCAATACCACAGCCTAAACAGATAGATGAAATTTAATTAATGCAACAGTGCATGTTACGATGTCCACCTAGTTACACTTTACCATCGTCTACAGCCGAAAACGATGCATTTTCAATGTCTACTGATAGCTTGATTGTCTTTGCATGAGCGTCTATGGCATTATAGATTACTAAGCATTCCGACGACACGTGAGCACCTTTGCACCATTACAATTAGTCAAATACCACATCACCTTGCTGCACCGCTGTCTCGAGGTTTGGTAGAGCGTAAGACGCCGTCATGACCCGACGCGTATTCTCATCCAATACGTCCATTACTCCTCCCAAATACAACAATTTGTCTTTATGCAAGCTGAGTAGTAGAAGCAGCGGAATGCCTTTCTCACCCGTTCAACCAAAATCTTAGCATTTTAATGTGTGTCTTTCTCAAACGATAAACCTTCCTGCGCAGCAGAGCCTTTACGGGTTATCATGTATTGAAACGGATGGAGAAGCAAGCAGAGATGAAGTTCAATAACGTGATGCAGTGCAGCGTCACTGCAGCACATTCGCACGCTTACGGCTTACACGACAGCATACTGACCTCTACTATTGTCTTGACACCGACTACATTAGTTTCTATCAGACCAAGCGTCCTGATGATTCCAAAGATGGTTTGTGCTTCTCAAGCTGTCAGCAACTTGTATCGCCAATTTAGCAATAAGCGTTCAGGCGCTTGCGTCTCTTTATCGCAATTGGTCTACTTTCTCGGCCAAAACAGATCTAAGAATGTGTGCAGTAGCTGAGTCCTCTATATCTTGAAATGTCCACGCATAGAAGTAGTGATCTCGTTTATGAATCAGCCACTTTATCGCATGCTTAAGAAATCTAAGTGCATATTGCGACGTCAATAGAAACGAGTCTTATTCCACCCGTCTCTCGTGTCGTGTAAGACAACAGACCTATATAAGCTAAATGTCTGCTGCTGGGCGTTTGTGCCCTTGATAATGGCAATCAAACTGGCATGATGATTCTAGTTTGCTACTGCATTAGTGACATATTCGCTCAAGAGGCACATGCACAAAACCGTTTTTGCTGAAAAAACTGCTCGTCTGCAAGTTAAATGCCGAGCAGCAAATGGTGGTCCTTCTTTGCCTACTCCAATTAATATGTCCAGACGAGCCAGCGTAGAACAGTCATAGCCCCCGTGGCTGCCACGCACTACCCTCCATCACTTTGCTAAGAGATATTAGCACGTTGCTGACCGAAATTAGCACAACATTTCAAGCTAGTTACATTCATGCAGCGCTAGGTGAGAGTGTCGAACAATACGGGTCTCATAAACTCCATTGTTCGACAATGCAGGGCTTTGCTACGAGCATATGATATGTTACAAGATATGTACTTTTCACATCCAGGAATGATTTGTCTTCGATTCACTGGCAGTAACACAACGAGTATTTTCTTATGGCTGGAGTCAATATTCTAGAAACCATTGATCAAAGCTCCTACTACTACGTAGCTACTTAACGACTTTTAGCCGGTAGTCGATCCGCTTTCAGCACAATGCACGAACGCTCTCGTTGCATAACATTCTGAAGCGAGCGGTGTCACGAGCTTTTCGGCCACTATCGACGCAAGCAGCACCACTAAAAAGTCTGTGATAAATGTACTGAAATTGCGTTGGCAGTCAAAAAATGACTGGCTTAGCATAGGCAACCCTGTATTTTCTTATGTAACAGCTAGTAAATGTGTTTTTCTGCGGACAGCAGTGAGCTCTTTACAAGTGCCACCACATTGATCTGCTTCACAGTACACAAACCAAACGATATTTGCTCGTCGTTATTGAAAGTCGAACGATGAAATCCGACTGTCGTTGAATGTACTGAATAGATGGCGACTGTTTTGCGAGAGACGGATACTCGTCATGACGTATGTTTTTGTTTCACAAGAATCTTACCATACAGCAGCATGTAGTATTGAACCTGATAAACAGTACTTTGAGCGCCAGTTGTACACTGCATGTGATATGTCGTATTCAGTGCATGTAAATGTAAACACCACTCCTTCTAGTGGGGATTGTACTGTATTTGGTTTCAGTAATTTTCGGTTTCAAATCTTGAATACACTATCTCAGTACTTTTATCTTACAGCATGGTTGGCTGGCCCGCCCGCCCACAAGCCAGCCATCTCTTGTGAGAACACAGGGGAAGGGATCAAGATCTTAACGAAAAAGAGCCACCAAGAGTCAGTGGAAAACTCCACGCCACCATAAGGCCACCAATCAGTTACACTTTCTCTGGAAGCTACTCGATATCAATTCGAATTCTTTGCTAATATCACAAGACCTACTCCCCACATCCTCCTTCAAATGAACATATCGACGACTCCCATCTCTACGTCGAGCCATCAGGCCATTATGAAATGCCCCTGGCAATGGCGTCAGCCCTTTTTGGATGAGAAACGTGAGAGCCGCAAGCGCAAAGTCGGTGACGGTTATTTCTACGACCCCGTGGACCCAAACTTTGTAGACCATTTATTGCCTGGTTATGCCAAGAAATTCTGCGGTGCTGACGTGCTTGAGTCGGATGAGAAGGAGAATATTCAGCGTGAGATTGAACGTCTTATGACCATAAAGAACGACCCACTCGGTCGCACTGACACCTCGGACGATGAAGATGATTTTAATGTCAGCTGTGAAAACCAGGCGCTCGTTGACAGCATCCTGCTCATGTCCAAGTCCGTGGAGGCCTCGTCGTTGACGCCGCTGGCGTCGCCCAAGAGTGTGATGTCCTCCTCGTCGGACGAGAGCAGCGATGACGACGACAATGAGCTCAGCAGTAGTAGGGAGGAGCCGCTTGATCTCGCTGAGGACCGCCCGGCTAAGCTCCTAGCGCACCGCAGCGCGTCGCTCGAGCTTGTGTCCGATGACTTGCAAGAGGCCTTTTTTGCGGTCGAAGACAGTGAGCTGCTCGATTTCCAGACGATTCCCAGCTCTAACGCAGCGGAAACGGACTGAGTGCCGTCGGTTGCGACCCCCCCCCCGTCCCGCCAGTACTGCGGCCTTTTACCCACCGACTTTTGCTCGTGTGAATTTATTTATTGATCGACATCAGCTTTGATTGCCCGTAATGTATGAGTTGACAGTGGCGCAGTGTGCTCTCTATCTTTTGCATGAGGAAGAGAAGCGAGAACAATGATAGTCTTCAGAGAATAACACTCGCTAAATGCACTTGCTTTTGCTACCGAAATGGATCATACACCGTGCATCTATTATTCTACACAGTCATAGCTCAATATGCAGCGTTGCTTGTTCTGTTTCGACTAGCACTACGTTACTATTCGGCACCCATGTCATCAACTTCCTCCTTAAACCTCTATGCAACAGCATAGATTACTAGGTACCCAGCCAGTATCGAGATTGACAAGATCGATCGCTCAGCTACGAGCTGAGTACATATTAAATTTTGGCCGTTATGGAGAAACGGATGCCCTTACTAATGGAACTCTAATGACTGTCCTGGCCCAAACTTATGGCCGAAAACTTATATCGCCTTTTGCCAAAACATTGTGCCCTCTACGACAAACGGTCGTAGTAGTCGTCTGGATACTAACGTGTCCAGCAAGATCTCAATCTTCTCTTTCCCGTAGTCAGGCAGCATTTCCACAAGTTGGTCAACGCTCTGAACAACAAGTTGCAGTTAGTGATCGGGTGATACGAATGCAGACGAAACGGCTGCCTGCATGCACATAATGTACTACTCACAATTGCTGGTGAGTCCTTATCACTTCCTTGAAATTTATTGTACAATGTCGACACCTGGACGGCACCAATGCCTCGCTACAAAAATGCAACACGAAAAGATTAGCAATTATGCACGTTTGAAAGACAAGCATTCAATGAGCCGTACCTGAAATGCAGCTGGTAGTAGCGAGAGTTCAAACTTCGGTATCGGCTCCCCTGCAGAGTCATCGTAGTCTCGCAACCGTGTCTCCTGTGAAACACTGCCAATATCAAGACTAGCACCAACGAGACGGTTTGACAGCGGGGTGTTTGGTGTCATTGCCTTGAGCTGCGTTCGTAACAACGGTGACGTCATATCAAATTCGGGAGTCCTGGGCGTGTCATCATCTAACAGTGCCTCGTTCTGTTGTCGTGGTGGTGTTGCCGCTACTGGTGTCTGTCCCTCGGTAATACGTCGGTGACTCGGCGATGACATATTGCTTATACTGCTGTATTTCCTGCGCAAACTAGGAGACGTAAATGGAGACGTAGCTTTCGCAGGGTAATGAGTTTTTGGGTACACTGGTGTTCGTCTTGTATCGCCAGCATCCGACCGTATTCGCTTCCGACTAGAGGCATTTTCGGGTGACCTCGACGTTTTTAGCACATTATCAGCATTCGGTTCAACCTCATTTGCAATTGATAATCGAACCGTGCTAAACTCTGGGTGGTAAGGTGTGTCAACAGAGTCGGTCGTCTGGTCCATTTCTTTCTCCTCCTCGCAAGATTTAGTTTTCTTCCCACGTGGTGGAGTGTACTCAAATGCACCCATCTTCATCAAATTTCTGCTAATACCAGGGCTGTTGTTGTTATATCCCACACTACTAATTGTCGAAGGAGGGGTCGAGATCTGTCGTGGTCCATCACTCCCTGTCTTTAATGGATCTTTCTACAAGCCACAACACACCTTTGTCAGCTCAAATTTCATACCATAAGACAAACTTATTACTATTACGCACCGATATTATCCCGGTCCGAGGTGGCGACGTTAACCAGCGTTCACGATCACTCGAGTTAAGTGTCGATGTCGATTCCTGCGTTTTAGCACTTGATCGAAACTCTGATTTCGACATGTACGGTGTCCTTGACATTCTTGGTAAATTGTCACTACTAATACTTGCGTCAAGACTGTCCTCGTCTGCTGAGACATTGCGACGATCACTTGCAGACGGCTGACCTTTCTTGAGCGTCGTGGTCTTGAACGTCTGCTCTCTACTCACAAACGAAGTGTCTTCGAGATCCTCATCGTCTTCTATAGTGCGATGATGTCTCGTCTCTCCATTTTTAATCGATTTAGGCGTACACGACCTCGAAAAACGCGACGGTGTGCGCGTACTTCGTCGTGCTGCTGGCTGCTGCGTGAACGAGTCGAAAAGTGGCCGCCAGACACGCGAGGACTCGTGAATCTGCCGCAGAATCTGGTGATGTCTTCGTACAGTGCCGCAAATCTGTGTAGCTGAACGATGTGCCGCACATATATTCGCATCAATTTCCTGCAGCAGATACGTGATCCGCTGCTGCGCATCTTCCTCCATTTTGGCGCCTTGTTTTCGAATAAAAGGCGAATTTTACGTTTACCCCCCATTGACCATCACTCTGATTGTAAAAGCTAGGAATTACGTTAAAACGTACGTTTTACGTTTTCTGCGCTATCGGAGCACGCACATTTGAATTTTTGCACCTCAGTGCGGAATCGTCCATCAAGTGCAACCCATGGAGTATCGTGTACGGAAGCGAGATATGAGCGGTACTGGACGTCTACCATGCTCACTAGAGAAGGTTTTACCGAACGCGACCGTCCGTCGCTTCTTACTACGTGCGGGTTTTCGCTTCAGCTCGGACCGCGCTGCCGTGCAGGTCCGACGCCACGTGAGCGACTTCTTTCGTCGTATTGTGGGCTGTATGGTGGTCATGATGCAGCACGACGGCCGTCGAAGCTTCCGTCTTATTGACGTCAAGCGTGCGTGCGAACACTTTGGTATTCGTATGTACGGCTACGACGACATGTGTCTGCTGGCTGCTAGCCGCATGTGTGGGCCTCAGTCCTACCATGTGACTGAGCTCGTGGAGAGCAACTCCATTTTCAGTCGCCCTATCGACACGCTTGAAGAGCCTGATACAGAGCCTGGTGCACGATATAAGAAGACGGATTTTGTGGCGAATTACACGTCGTGGAAGGAAGAAATGGGGGAACTAGAAGACGAGGTGAGCGAGCCCAGCGAATGGTCCTTCTCTGATAGTGATACAGAGGTAGAAGACGAGCGAGATATTGGTATTGAGACCATGCATTCTTGGCAACCTGATGAAGAGATGTTTATTGCGTCGCTACGTGACGCACAGGAGTTTGTGAACGACAATCTACTCCATGAACCGGAAGATGAGGATGGAGATTGTGAGAGTCAACCTGGTCAGGGGTATTATTCGGATTATGATGATAGCTATGAGCCAGAGTACTTGGAAATGCAACAAGCTCAAGAGGAGAATGAAGATGCACAGTGGAATGAGGTTGGTGAACTCTATGTTCTGCAGAATGGCGAAGATAGGGACCCTGCCGAGTTGCAGAACTTCAGTAGTAGTCCCAATCTGTACGTTATTTCACGCCAGGAGTTTCTGCGTGTTTATCGCACGCTTCTTAGCCTTACGCTGAGACTGGGTGAGCTACAGATTAGTTCGGTTGCGCTGAGTGCCTTACACAATGCGACCGAGCAGTGTCTCCATCGTTCACTTACTGAAGGTTCACTTCACTATCAACTAGCTGCTATCTTAAAGGACCAGGAACGTGCCCACTCGACGAGTCAGCTCGAGTCAGAACTTCAAATGCAGCGCGAGAAGGTAAATGAGCTGTGTAAGACCATTGCTGCTAACAAGACCGCATTCAAGGCTAAGGAATTGGCGATGCAGAAACAGATTGAACAGCTAACGAAACAACTACAAGGCCGACACGACGTGCAGATGCAGACACCTCCCAGTCTCAAGAAGAAGTCACCCGCAAAGCGAAAAGCCACCAGTAAGAAATCTCGTAATGCCCGGAAGGGTCTATCTGAATCCTCAAAGGTTTCTACGTCCGTAGTAGGTGCGCTCCGCTCACGGGATCAGAACCGCTCGAGCAAGAAGAAGGTTAAAGTCTGTCTTGTTTAAGGACGAGCGCACAAGGACGAGCGCACAAGAAGGTGATTACGACTGCATTGATTCAACTTGAATGAGCTCGTTCACAAAACTGATCTCACACCTAGTCGTTGTTTTGAGTCAGTAAAGTGACAGGTGCAAGGGTGTCATATTGGAAAACAATTTACAGTGTCATCGCTGACGTAGGATTCTCGATTAATATTAGCTGGCATTTCGTCTTCTATCTGTGTGCCTCATTGTGAGCTCATACCGTTTTTTTACCAGTCAATGATATCCTCATCTCGGCAGCCTCTGCAGCTCGAATTGTGGCTGTTGCGTGGCACACCTGGACAAATTCAATGAGATGCTGAAAGAAAGTATCGCCGAACGTGCTACGAGTGAGCAGCAAGTTCAGGTGAGTCTTTGTACGAGGTAACAAGTGCGTGCTGACGGTGCTATACACTCACCTTAGATAGGCTTCGATGTTATTGTGGCCTGCATCGGTCACCCACAACGGTTTGCACCTCCACTCCTGAGGGCACACTTCAAACAGCCCTTCGCCGTGCCAGAAGGGCACGACTTCATCTCGAGTGCCGTGGATAATCGTTACAGGCGACTGTACCTGATCGATGATGTCTATATTGCAGAATAAATCGCCCGGTAATGTATAGCGGAAATTAAAGACCACGCGGAACATGGAGAGCACGGGACTCTGGAGGACCACGCCTGCTACAGGCTGTCCCAAGTTCGACTGCTTAGCTGCGAGATGTGTTGCTGGACCAGAACCAAGTGACCTGCCGTATCTGTAATAATGAGCTCAAGGATTTCGTCAAGTAGTTACGAACACGGATGAGGAGGTCACCAGACTACGTACAAAATGATTTTCCCAGGTGGGACCCTCTTCACATTGACGAGGTAAGCAAACGCAGCTTCAACATCCGCGAAACATGCTTCCTCACTAGGTTCACCTTCACTGATGCCATAACCAGAGTAGTCATACGACATTACGTTGGCCTGAGGTACAGTAAAGCACATTCTGCATCACAATGCGAAGTAAAAACTCGCATAACGGTTGGGACTCTCACCTGAAGTCTCCTGCTTACTTCACGAAACCAATCGTAAATTATTCCTAGATCTGCATGAACACGAACGATACAAGAGCGTCACAATCACACCTGTTGTCTGATGGTCAAATCATGAAAGCTCGCCTGCCTTCTGCATTGCCATGAGAGAAGAGCACGGTATATTCAGCCTTACTGCGAGGACGTTTTCAACTATTAGTAAAAATGGACATGCAATTGCTAACACAACCACTTCATAGCGTGCTTTGACCTACTCGCATGGAATAAAGAATGCCGGGATTCGGTTGTGCATGGACGTCACGATGAAAAAGTAGCGACGCGTGTATCCATAGGTAGCAGGTGGTGGTTGAAACACCAGCGCAGACACCGCGTTGCCCATTCTGCGTTTACGTCCTAGATGTTGTGATATTGCTCGCTGTCAAAAGCCGCTGTAAAATTACAACGTAATGGCCGTGTTCTACTATTAACAATGACACAAGATTATGAACTATGGGTTGGCGTCAGTATGGACGTCCGCTCGGCTGATAATTAGAACACCTCTTAAAACTGATCATGGCTTGCAAGCCGTATCGTATGGTCTTGTGTCGGAATCAGAGTGAAGCGACGTTGCGTAGCAATCGCTCTTGGACACTTTTTTTCCATTCACTCTATTTATTGAGAGGTTTAAGCGAATTCATCTCATTAGGCTACTAATATGTGACAAACTAGTATATGTCTATGACACGTGTGCCTCATCCTTCACCAATGTTAAGTGGAGTGGCGTAGGCCACGAAGATCTTCGTCAATGACACGGTTAGTCTCTCGCTCATCTTCGTCAACTGGAATACCTTCTTTACGTAGTAGGCTCACGAATCCCCCTCGGCTAGATGGAGTGAGATCCGGCTGCAAAGATCGATGGGCGACAATTGGCGGTTTATAGCCACAAACCCTGGTCGACACTGGTAACAAGGTCGAAAACGCCGTTGTCGAACTATACGTGAGGTGCTGGACATACTTGTAATCTGCATCGTCAATATCAGTCCATCTATTTCGAAACAGCCTTCGTGGGCGCCGCTTTGGTCGTGAGCGTCGAGGCCACGGTATCTCATTGCGCATTGCCTTTGCATAGTCCATCCACTCCTTTGCCAACGTGTAAAGCCATTTGAGTCCAGGCACATACGTCAACACCAATGACTTCATACTATGAGGTCTGCGCTTTGCTGCTGTGTACAAAATCTGCATGGTCTGCAGCTCCTCTTTCCGCCGTGACTGTTTCCTACCAATTCAACGACCAAAACGTCCATGCGTCAAGAACTTTCTATCCATACAAATCGAGATTTGAATGCAAACTCACTTTTTCTCCGTTTCAATGGCACTCGAAAACGTGAAACCCGACGTTAATGAGCCCTTTGTTTCCTTTTCATCTATACAAAAAAACCGTCAAATATTCATTCACGTTTCCATTGTCACTCTTTTTTGCGTCGATGCTCTAGATATTCTACAGGCGTTTTACCAGTACGAAGTGGCGATCGAGACTTGATTGGTGAATCTTCTCGTAACTTGGCAAATGGCGAGAACGATACGCGTCGACTGGCACTAACATGTCGTCGGACACCAACATGCTCTCTTTCTCTCTTGGATGCACTGTCCGAGGGCCTCATGGGGCTTGCGTATGATGATAAAGTCTTGAGAATTGGCCGAGGCATTAGCGGCTGAATGGCGTTAGAGATTTAAATCCATGCGCCAGGGGAGGGGTGAAACACAGGGGCTGATACTGCTAGCATGTCCTGACATCTGTTCAAATTTTTGACATGTGGTATACATCAAGTTAGCGGTAAAATGGTATGACTTAAAAGGTCACATTGATGCCGATTTGATGCGTCACTCTCAAAAATAACTGTTTGGTCTTGCAAGAATTGTATCTTACTTTCTCATGTTGCTCATCTTTAGCACAGTGTGCCCTGTTCAAGGCAAGAAAAACGAAAACAACTGCGTCATCACCTCTTGGGGTGTTGTACATTCAACTGAAAATGCTGCCCAACAATGAAATTTCCTTAGGTTTCGCGCATCAAAGTGTCAAAAAATGTCATTATCCTCGCACAATCAGGCAGTAGCATGTGCGTCCAGGTAGAGATTATTTGTTGGACTATAAATCCTGCACATACAATGCAAAGTTCCCCCAGTAGTCTTCAAACAGCTGCATCAGCACTAATGATCTTACTTGTGCTTGAATGGTATCAACATTCAACACAGAGCATGAATCAGCAGAGTTACGTTGACATAATTTGCTTGTTTTTCAGAGCTTCTGGCCAAAGATTCGAGTCAACGTTGTAAAACACTGTGTCGTGCATCTCTCTGTGTCATTTTTATACTAACTCCACATCTTAGCAACAGGCAAACACATGGGACTTTATATCGGTTACGTATCCCACACTGTAACTACCACGACGCCGCAATTCTCGTCGAAACGATGTCGACTCCGGTACTTTAAGTCGCTTAGCAGCTTTCTCCGCCTCCTGCCATACAAAAATAGTGCCAAATCTCTCGTTAATTTTCTAGATCCCCATGCACCAGTGCATCTGCACTTACTTTTGTTGCCACCCAGTGCAATGGCAGCAGTACGCCAACCACGTAGAGTGCTACTAATAACGTCACGAGAGTCGTCACGATCATCTATAGAAATATATATTGACAAAGTTACAACCCCTTTAAAGCTAAAGACCAAGACTGACGAGAGACCAGAAAATTACGCACCTTACGTGACATGGGGAGCGTATGAAGCTCGTCTAAAATCTGCGCTGCGAGCGGCAGAAACGGCACGCGGCCAAGCACAAAGCCGCCACCCAGCAGCGCTGCGTTGAATAGTAGTGACCCCATTTAATTTTTTCATTACTCCTTATTAGGGGACGCTTTTTGCATTGAGAATTTACATTTTTACAATGAGTTTTTAAACTTTCAACCAATCACTGCAAGCATTGCGTCTCGGCCATTCAATATTTTCACCTCTTTGGTCCATGGAGCTACTCACTTTTCAAACCGAAAGTTAAAACTCGCATCCATGGCTCCTACTGCTCCGAAAGTGTACGTTGCTGTTTAAAGCCATGACCTCTAGTTACCCTTTGGATCATGGATTATCTCCTACGTCACTTAATCTTCGCTATAGCGGAGATGACGTATGGATGGATCGTGAGAGTAAAGCGTGTCCTCATTGCAGCAATTGCTGAAAAAAATGAACATGCTCTTCTCTTGAAATCAATACGGAGAAAGACTTGTATTGATGCTGTTTTTCTTCAATATCTCCTAATGTGTCAGTCAACCAATGACATCATTCATGGAGGATCATGGTGTGTGTGGCTTACGAGCCACTCCACTGAAATTTAACTGTGACGGGTGTATCGGGAAGAGTCTTCGCTTACTGAGTCAACCCGATGCGTTATGCATCCCGTCCTAATTATGCTACTGTGTTTCTTACTTTTAGTCTTGTCCCTGAGTCCATCCTCAAGAAGCGTCGTACGCTCGAGCAGGTCAAGGCCAAGCGCACTGCCAAGGCTGTTGCCGACAAGGTGCACCGCAAGAAGGTCCGTCAGATCGCTTTCAAGAGCGCTGAGAAGTACATCAAAGAGTACCGTCAGGTAAGAGTTATTTGATCTTTACATACTTGTAGGTCCTCTTAGTAATGGTGTCTTTATAACATAAATGTAGCTCGAGAAACAGAGCGTTGTCCTGCGTCGTCAGGCCAAGTCCACGGGCAACTTTTACGTGCCTGCTGAGGCCAAGTTTGCTTTTGTGATCCGTATTCGTGGTATCATTGGTGTGTCCCCCAAGGTCCGCAAGATCTTGCAGCTTCTGCGTCTGCGTCAGATCCAGAACGGTGTCTTTATTAAGCTTAACAAAGCCACCATCAACATGCTTCGTCTGGTCGAGCCCTTCGTCACGTACGGCTACCCGAACCTTAAGGTGACCCGTGAGTTAATCTACAAGCGTGGATTTGGCAAGGTCCGTGGCCAGCGTATTCCTCTGACGGACAACGCTATCATTGAGAAGTCTCTTGGTCATGTCGGCATTATTTGTATCGAGGATCTGATCCATGAGATCTTCACGGTGGGTGAGCACTTCAAGCAGGCTGCCAACTTTCTGTGGCCCTTCCAGCTGTCGTCCCCGAACGGAGGCTACACCAAGAAGCTGCTGCACTTTGCTGAAGGCGGTGATGCCGGCAACCGTGGTGCCGAGATCGTCAAGTTTATTAAGCAGTGCCTGTAAGAATACGTGGCTGATAATTGCGAGATTTCTGCCAGCGCTTCTGTAACAACTCGGTTTGAAAGATAATGAAAAGGTCTCTTTGACTCATTTACTTTTGTTTACAAGTACTCTGTGCTTAACTATTATCTATCGCTTGCTGTCGTAGTTTCTTATGACATTGACTATGCTTTAGTAAGTACCGGCGTTGATGAGAAAATGGAGCAATTGTCCTGATGAAAAAAAGTATCGCCACCTCCAGTTTTTGCGGCACTTGGTCTCGTCATGACGTGCATTTACGAAATTGCAAATGCGCTGGTGTATGACGATATCATGCGGCGTTTTGTTTAGCAAAAAAATGAAGTTTCCGCGCATATATATCAGCTTTAGACCTGCAAAATGTGCAGTGGTCTACAGCTGTAACTCTTTCATCTTGTAAACCTGCATGCACCTCCACGCAGCGCAGGAGGATAAAATGTGTCGCTCAAATTCCTCTGCAATGCGACCAGGCTTATCACGATCGACACTTGACACAAGTCGCTTCATCCCAAAAAGTTTTCACGTTTCAAAGTGTCTTAGCACTTCACTATTTGCTCGCATTCCATGAAGCTAAATGCTTCCACAGCAATTGCCTTCGCGATGTAGTCTCAAACACCATCATTATTGGACTAGTAACTTCTCAAATATGCAACAGCATTAATCAAGTAGAGCAATACGATTTACAAACCGTCACGATGCATGAGATGCATTTGATTGTCACAACAGAGCCTGAGAGCGGAGGCTGTTCAGCTTCAGATAGTTGCTATCTACTCCATTAGTGTTGTCCACACTAAGTACGACCTATTTTAGGATCATAATGTAACCTCACGACGGAGGTTATGATTGTTGTTTTGTCACAGGAAAGTAGTTACATGGTAAATTACCAAGTTGAGGTTTGTTGGCTGCATCTGTTATCTGCCGGTTATAACAATGATTTCATTTAAATCACCTCTTATCTGTCATTCTATCGTATATATTTATAGCTCATCGAGACCCTGGCTCTACCACAAAGTTCTTCGTCCGTTACCTCTGATCAAGTGAGCGTAGAGGCGATGCACCTTCTGCGACTAATGGCTCCAGAAAGTCCGTCGACACCGAAGGAAGTTGCAGAATATTTGCACGAAATGCCACATTCTGATTCTCAAATGGTCCGTAATTTTAGCTTTCATGGCCTAATTGTTTCTGACTAAAAAGTAGTTAATTACTGCCAGATCGGACAAGTTTTAGGTGAACCGGACGCTAAGACACAATGTGTACTACATGAATACGCCAACATGTTTCTATTCAAAGGTGTATCATTCGACATTGCTCTACGCGTGTATCTAGGTCGCTTTGAGCTGCCGAATGAAGCTCAGAAGATTGACCGTATCCTCCAGGCTTTTGCTAAAGCTTATTACAGTAAAAACTCGGACAGCTTGGAGTGTCCGTCCGAAGATGCAGTGTATACATTAGCGTTCTCTATTCTGCTGCTTAATACAGACGCACACAATCCGAGACTGGCACGAAAGTTTAAGATGACACGAGCTGATTTTATCCGGAATTATCATCAATTAGGAACAGGCGACAGCGATTCCGCAAGACCAAAAGTGCCGGATATGTTTCTAGGCCAGTGCTACGACTTGTTTGTGACGAACGCAATGAAGCGGATTGAACGAAAACCAGTTGAGCTTCAGTGTGATGAAGTGGAGCTTGAGTTTCCAGAATCAGAATTGGGGCTAGAAATTGAGACCTCGTTCGATACCCAAACTGCAATCGTTAAGAGGTATGCAAATGACCGTCATACATACTGCAACAGAAAGCAAAGACAGTTGAGTTCAGCCTCATCTGCAGTATCCAGCAACAGTTTTTTTTCTTCTAGTGCGAAATTTTTGGCAGCAAGGAGCAGCATCTTGGCAAACATCTTGGCTTCAGTAGACTCGGAGCCAGAGCTGTCAATTGTAGGATGGGTGATTGTAGCAGTTGGAGACGACAGTACCCGTCAGATCGGCTACGCGTTGTCGCGCTATTTGCTCAAGACGGCTCCGCGTCCCGTTCTCATCCGATTTTGCGAGCCAAGTGTGTACTTTGCGTCTCTAGAGTAATATATAGAATTCCATGTCAATCATGTTTTTATCGTTGCAACAGCTTAGCTTTGTCGCGTGGGTGATGGATGGGCTGAGGCAACTCTATTGCCATAATGGTAGCAGATATAACGTCTGATGGTAGTTTTCCAGTGTGGTTATTTAACTTACTTCTGTTTTTGTCATTTACGAGATGCCGAATGCAAACCAATGTACCATTATTCAACAGACATGACACAATCGTCGCAAGCCGTTTTAAAGCCAGTTCTTACAATGTGCCGTGCAGGTCCTCTGCATTCCCTGAAAATAAGCATCATCCTTTATACAAAAAGTATGATGCATTGTATTCGTGCGTGGCTAACACGGTGTTGATATACTAGTCGTGCTCAAATGGGAGCTGCATGTTGAATTATCTCACACTGTACGAAAATCCTTTCAGTGAAGATTGTAGATCGTTGCGATGACACATGTGTTTGCAACTGTCAGTGCAAAATGTTTTGAACTACTGTAGGCCAGTATTACATTTATTACAAATACGCAATGTTAAGGTGTATATTGTTCATAAATGCGTAACTCTTCTGCAAGATACAGTCTGATATATGTTCTTGCGTTGAGAATATAAACACTAAAGAGTCAACTGTGTGTCTTTTGCTTGAAATAATAATTTATCGTAAAAATTTAAAACCTATACCAAAATGTTTTTTTCAAGCGGTAATAACGAAATGTTACTAACACCATTCACAAGAGACAGGGTTTTTATATACGTCGGAAGTTTAATAACTTGGGTAATCTATCTATCCGTCAATAAGTTGGGTTCATTTCGTCTAAACCGTCTCTTCTCAGCACCACGGTTGTCTCATTGTAAAGATAATATTAGGTTGTGTCGTTTCCTTGTTTTCGGTTTTTTTTTGTTGACGTTGAAGTTACCTGACTAGTTGGTGCCCGACTACCTGGGAGCCGCATAAAGACCCACCCCTGAATCCATTTTGTCGAAACTCCATCATTTGATAATTTGCAATCATGGGAGCAGTCCTTGTGTGTTTTGGTGGTGAGGCAGCATCGGATTATGACGAAATGAAACAACAAACGCCCAATGGCAATTCACTATTGGACCGACTACAGACAAGTTGGAGTTACCGACAATTGGATGAAGAAGACGAAGATCCAGTCAAGTATGTCTTTTCGATTGCTTTGATTCCTATATTTTCTCATGTGTTTTTTATTTATTTTACCTACAGCTGGGAGAGTTTTATGCTGCAATCAAACAAGTCCACTGCCTCTTCGGGTAGTCGCATGTTATCGGCTTTCTACAGTCGCTTATTAGAAGAAAATGATGATTGTGCCTATTATTTTGATACCAAAGGCCAACGGATCAAAGGAGATTATCTGGATCAGATTAAATTACTGGAACATTATTTCCTGCCTATAACACAACAAGGACGTCTTCTCTCACTTCATCATCCAGTCACAAAATCACTCGAGATGGACAACTCAAATGACGACTGTTTCTCAATATCGTCTACTTTAATGAGTGAAGTGGACTACTGGATATCTGCTGATCTACCAAAACCAGTACTTGGTCGCTGCTCCAGTGTAGGCCCACCTGTTCATGCAAGTCTCAAGATTCATCGAGCTGTTACGAGTCCACATTTACAGGAGGACATGTACTTCGCTCACTTATACTCTCCATGGAGTTTACAAAGTTCGAAGCTCGAGAATCACCAGTTTCCATCATTAAAGTCCCTGGCAACTGCGAGCTAAGGTGCCCCAAGTTTTTTATCGAAATCGCGTGTCTCTTTCTAGATGTGTCTTATTGTGCCGTCCAATGCACCAACCTCTAGTACGATATAGCATGCTAAAACAACTCGACTCGTGTTTAACACGCAGCAGTTTACCGTATTTTATCCATCGCTGGGGCTTTCTACACTAACTGGAGCACGATCTCCACTCCCCATTCATACACCTCGGTTTGCTCATGGGAGCTTTCTTCGTGCTAACCTACTTTTTAATCCATTTCTTCTTTGATCCACGTACTAATGCCACGCTTTGGGTTGCTGTAGTAATACTTGCCCGGTACACTCCGTGACTCACGCTTCACCCAACCAGGAAGAAGTTTCTCCACGGTTTCAGGATTCTCACGCTGCTTCTGGGCACGTTTGACCATCTCTTCTGGATGAAAATGACAGATTTCCTTGAACATGAGCTCCTTGAGGTCCGACATGTCGAGATCATCCAGGTCAAAGCTCTGAAACTTTTCTACCGGTACATTCTCACGCTCTTCGTCGTAATACATTGCTAAATACGGATGCCGTAGTGCCTCCTCAACACTAATGCGTTTCTCCACGTCAAATACCAGCATCTTCCATAGTAGATCCAACCCCTCTGGATTTGCGTTCGGGAACATGGTGCTTGTGTCAATACCAGCTACTGCTTGAGTTCGGCTCAGTAGCTGACGACCTTTAAGCTTGTTGGCCAACGGATTCTCCTTGAACGAATGCTCCTCCGGTACGCCCAGTACATTCATGATAAGCTGGAGCTGGTGCACGTACGTCTCGCCGGGGAACAGTGGTTTGCGACCGAGCATCTCGGCAAAAATACATCCTGCTGCCCATAAATCCACACCATCACCATAGGCACTACCTAGCAAAAGCTCTGGTGCACGATACCAACGTGTTACCACATACTCCGTCATACCCACATCATCAGCTTCTTTTGAGCGTGCGAGTCCAAGATCACAAATTTTGAGCTGGCAATCTGAATTGATAAGCAGGTTACTCGGCTTTAAGTCACGATGTAACACGCCAGCGCGATGCATGTGACGCAAACCACTAAGCATTTGAAACAGGAAATATCGGATATGATCGTCGCGTAGCACCTCCTTTGAGTAGATGATACGATGCAAGTCCATCTCCATGAGATCCACCGTCATGTAAACATCTCGAAAGTCCGTGTACGATGGCGGCGGAATCAAATCCAGTAAACTCAACACATTTTCGTGAGCCATGTGGCGAATCAATCGGCATTCACGAAGAATTTGCTTGAGTTGATGCGGATGCCAAATACAGTCGATTACCTTCTTAATAGCGACATTACCACCCGTTCGCAAGTTCGTGGCAGCAATTACAATACCATACGCACCACGGCCACATACCTTAATAAGCTGATAATGCCGCGGAATCGTGAAAGGAGCACCGCACACCATAAACGTATGCATGTCAGCATTTTCCTTGCAGACAACGGCATCAGTAGCTGCGGGTAGCGCGCTAGCATTTTCTTCTCCTGAAGGAAACTGCTTGTGTACTGTGTAATCATCCTTGTTGTGTTTACCACCAACGACAGCACCGGCAGATTTTGTGCGACCAGTGCTTTCAGGTGAGAGTTTCACGTTTGCCCAGCCATGACGACGCACATGTTCGCTTCCGCCCATGGGATAATAATCGAGCTTCATACCGCTCTTCAGTGCTGGAGTTGCAGCACCTAACAACGCTTGAGAATGAGCTGCAGGAGTGACATCCCATTGCAACATGTGAGAAGATGGAGGATTGTTTCGGTCGATGACGACACTTTGACTCTTTTTTAGTCGCGGCTGTACACCATCTTCATTTTCGTCCAGCTTAACGCGTCGACAGGTAATCCCGAGCTGTACCTTACCGCAATATTCACCTTTAGCGTTGCTGATCGAGTACCATTTACTGTCAGCTGCCATAGCTGCCTCTTCACGCATTTTCGTGCGCTCACTGGTATCTGCAGCCATCAAGTACCTGGCAACATTCAATGTAGCAAAGCCAAGCTGGGACTCGACTCCATTCTTTAAGTGATCTTTTACGTCCACCACCAGTGAGCATGTGCCAATGACATCGCAGAACGGAAGCTCGAGAACTAAATTCCACACCGGGTGAGTCGGCAAATACGATTCATCATCTGTGTTGCGCGGGGAACCGGTGCTGAATGGATCTACGACCGGAGTTGAACTGTTGGGTGTGGAGGTGTGGCCTACAGCAGACGATGCCGCAAAAGCGGCAGAACTCGCCACGGAGGTCATGAAGCTAAACTTTCGCGAAAGGTTCGGCATCGAAATTCCACCGATCAGAATTGAGGGTCCCGCTGAAGCAGATGAAAAGGCACTTAGCGTAGACACATTTGGATTGGACTTCGGCTTTGACTGCTCTCGGTACTGGAGCCGCACTGTAATGCTCGGCTCCTTGACTGTCTTTTTAACCGATGTGCCTGCCTTCAGTCCATGACCCTGCATAACCCGGACGAGCAATACGCCTTCCAGACCATGCTCAGCATCCACCTCATTAAATTCTTGAGGAAGTTTCAGTGTCGTTGCCGCACCAGGAACCTTGAAGACTGCACTAGCTGCAACGACGTCGCCGTTGATTTCAAAGCGCGCAAGTCGTCCGTCCGAATAGAATGTAAACTTATGCACCCAATTTTGGATAAACTTGCGCGCATCACGACGATTCTCTAGCTCCTCCTTGCCGGAAGCAACAGCTATTGATCCATCCACCGACATGCCACCAATCTTGAAATTCGTCCAGAGCGTGTGTCGAGCAAAGTCATGCATGAAAGTCACTACACCGGAGTGACCACGAAAAGAGCCGTGAAAAGGCACGGATGGCGGATAGTTCGAGCAGAAAATAACATTCTTGTCTAACAATCGGAAGAAGCGGGTGAAAACCTGCTCTGATGGTGGAGGAAGCGTCACTGCCATGTCACCCTCTGTGCGCCAGTTGCCACTGTGGGCCGTATAGAGTACCACCAACATCGCATAAAATTCCTCCATGTCAAGCGGTGCTACAGGAAGCGTTGGAAGCGCCACAATCGCCTCAAGTCCAAGTCGCATCCATATGATTTTCTCCACGGCTGTTGGGGCTGTCACCTGGAGTGTCTTCTTATCTTCTGTAATAAAGGTGAACCCATTTGCGCGACTGGACGAGTCTTTGACCCCCGCTAGCGCGTACAAATGACATACACCACTTGATGCTGGGCTGCTAGAATTGCGCCGAGTCATGCTAGCTGCTGGACTACCAGGTACAGGCTTGCGCGGATCGCTTGGTGGCTGAATATGATGAGGCACAAGCGGCTCATCTCTAGACGACAAGTATGCCTCTTTCGAAGCAAACCTTCGCAGAAACTTACCCTCCAATACATAATAGTGTCGTTCCAATCTCCTCAGCCACTCGCTTCGTCTAGTCAACACGCCTTCCCACTTGACAGCCTCGTGATACAACGTTCCTGACTGTGGTCGAAAACCAGAGTCACGCTCGTCGACTCCTGACGGCGAGTTGACGTCTATCTCCGTATCAAGAGCTAATGAAGGTTTGCCTCCATTCTGCAGTACGACTGTAGCTGTATTCAAATGCGTTGGTGTCATATTCAACACTTCAGCATTTTCATGTGCCTCCATTTTCACTTGTAACACGTCCGATTCTTCCTCTTCCTGCTCGACATCACAAATGCTACTTGTAGTAGACAACGATTCTGCACCAAGACGTGTCTCCCCCGCTGTTGTCGTCGACAAGATCCTTTCTCCAAGTGCATTAAGTCGTGGATCCTGAGCTTCTGACAATCGTCGCAAGGACGCATTGTACAGATTCTTTTCTTTTCCATGCAATGACAATTTTGCATCTTCTAGAATCTCCGATGCCCGTTCTGAAATCTGTCCTTGTTGTCGCCACATATTAATCACACCTTCTCGACTTCCAAGGACAATTGCCATTGACATGGAACTATCATGACTACGTCGACGATGACCAATGTCCGTACTATTGGTCATCATGGACGTATCAAATCCATTTAGTCCCCCATCTCTTGTAAAATGAGACAATGAACTCTCTCGATTACAAACTTGATCCAACTTGTCAGTACCTCCTGGTGTTAAAAGACTTGAAGCTCCGTCAAGAGCTGGTGTTGCTGCCATGTCTACAATAGGAGGAGATGGTCGCATTCGAAGTGATGCTCGTGTCCATGCTGCACTCTCGGACTGGGTACGAAGTCGTTCCTTTTTCTTCTTCTTCTTCTTTTTCTCTGCTTGATGTGTGGGTAATAATAAACCCACATCACTACCAGCTCGTGGTTCGCCATCAATAGGACTTGTGCTTGTAGACGATGTGAGACTTGTCGGAATCTCGTATAAAACCGTGTCTTCACAATTATGAAGCTCTTCTTCAGCTGAAAATATCTCGTTCATGTCCATAAAGAGCGTGTCTCGAAAGCTTCAATTGATGTGGACTCCCGTGATGTGGTAAATGAAAGGGGAAGGAAGCTCTTCTTGACTGTCGCTTTTTAGCAGGGAGACGCGTGCTCTGATTCGAAATATCTTGAGATTTGTATGCGTTGATAAGAAAAAAAGACTCAACATTCGTCTGTTTGTTGGTAGGTACTTTAGTTCCCAAACGTATAGTAAGATGATAAGTAGTCTCGAACATGTCAAGCGTAGCAGGTAATAAAACATGCACCAAATTCTACGTATTTGTATTGACATGTCCATGCAAAGTTGGCTTCAGTTGCTTCGTGTAGCAGTGTTTTTTTCCTTTTCACGACAAGATTGGCGGAAAAATCTTCTGCTGCACCATTTCTTCCAGCACAAGACGCACTTCCTTCGCCTCCAACTGCCATGGGAATCAAAGTATCAACAATTGTTAATGGAGAGGAATGACACTATCATACAATACAGCATTCCATTTGCTACGTACTGTCGGATACTCGTACTGGAAGCCCGTCGACTCGATCTTCGAGCCGTCTGCATAAAGATGGTTGTGCTGCAGCAACTCCTTGTCGATGTACGGTGTCAGCGGCGTGTTGGTAATACCATGTTCCTAATACCATAGACCACATTAAAACGATGCACAAAAGCAGGCTGAGTGGAGTAAACCAGACCGAAACTCGGAAGTCAAGTGTAAGGGTAGGACGTACCGCACACAGATCGGCCCAAGGCTGCATATGCTTCTCGTTAGCATCATCCACAACGTCGGCGAGTCGCATGCGGGCCAGATTAGACACCAGCTTGCCAATGAAGCCGGTCTTAATGTGAAAAATCTCCTCCATCACAGCGTTTACCTTCCCTTGGTCTACAAGCAGCAGGATGATTATGCAACATCTCTTCGATAGACAAGATTGTAATAAAGCTCCACTTACTAGTGTCATTCTTATCAACCAAGTTGTAGATATCTCCATCGTTGCCAGCAGTCGTAACGTGCCACAACGCTCGGCACACATCAAAGACATGAACCTTTCAACCAATGCAAAATATGTCAAACAACTTGAGCTTCCACACAGCTTGAGTGCTCCAAACAACTTGAGTTTCATAGTCAAGTCAAGTAACGCAAATCGCACCGTGTTGACACGCATCTCTGCATCCCAAAGCAGCTTCATCTTTTCTTCCAGCTTCACATATCTAAACACAAAACAATACAAAATCAAACCCAAGTCAACTCAGACCAGCTACACCAATGATACGCCTATCCAAAAAAACATACGAGGCAGCACAGACAATTCTCGGCATAAGTCCCATCGAATCTGCTGACCCGTACACCTAATACCCAATAAAAAACACCATACACACCAACAAATAGGTTTAGCAATAGTAGTAGCTGAAAACTAGCAACATTTAGTCAAATTATACCGTTGCTAGACGAAGGAACACGACCTTGAGATCTGGTAAATTTCGAATCTCTTCTTCTGCTTCTAGCCTGTACTTGGCCTGTAGAGTCCACGGTTGTAAATCAGCGTCTTCTTTCGCTGGTTTTTTAACTTGCGATTTGTATACAAAAGCCGTCGATACTTCAATATAGCGTTTAACACCCACTTCCTGGGCCTTTTTGGCTATCAAAAAATACCACAAAAACACAAAAAAGAGCATGAAAATGCAATTGTAAATATTCAAAAATTGTCAACATGTTCTCAAAAAGTCACAGAAAATTTCAAGTAAACCACACCACATTTTACGGCCACATCCCGGCATTTGGAAGCGTAGATTGTATCCGAGAGACCACATTTGGACTCGCCTGCGAGATTGAATACAAAATCATAGGGACCAAATTCTGGCTCAAAAGCACGCTCAATATGAGCATCACGAGTCAAATCGGCTTGGACGAATTTAACGCGGTCGTCTGCAAACGCCTTTTTATGTGCATCGCTATGTACAAAACACACAAAAGACGGCAGAAAATCGAGATTATGACTAATTAGAGAGAAAGAGATTACGGATAGAAAATAGAAAAGTGGGAAAGAGATTGTACCTAAAGTATGAGATTTCAGGCATTGTCTTATCAGCAACACGCACAGAAGAGACTAAATCACGATCTATAAGGTATTTGACAAAATTACGACCAATCATGCCAGCACCACCCAGCACCAGCACACGTGCCATTGTGTTCCTCTTTAAGAAGTGATAAAAACAAACAAGATGATTGGTTGAAAAAGAAACAAATCATACGATCGACACAAACTTAATGTCGTCTACATAATAACGTGTGTAGTCCACATCACTACGAATTACGCTCCGAATTAATACATCCACGACCCTTCCTACTAGTCTCTTCTCTTCTCTCTCTTCTTCTTCTTTTGCTGTGCATTATGCAGAGCTTCTTTGCATTACTAAGCTTTGCATTAATCTTTGCAACATTATTGTATATGAATCAGACTCCAGATCCACCAGGACGGATGGTTGAACTCATTACTAAAACATCATCATCCGAAGAAAATCCACGCTGTGACGTGGCGCGCTTGGATACATTACGTCATGCTGCTATTGTCTACACTTGGGTCAATGGTACTGAGAATTGTTATGAAAAAAGACGTGAACGTGCAGGATTATCAGCTGGTGGATCTTCACGAGACAAGGAGATGGACGAACTCAAGTATTCGATCCGTTCATTGCTCAAGTTTGCGCCGTGGCTCGAAGGACCCATTTATATTGTTACTCCTGGTCAAATCCCTGACTGGCTGGATTTATCGAACCCACGGGTTCGTGTCGTGGACCAAGACGATCTCTTGCCCAAGGATAAAACCAAGCTCCCGATCTTTAACACAAATGTGATTGAGCAGTATTTGCACAAGATTCCAGGACTTACGGACGTGTTTATCCATATGAATGATGATTATCTATTCATTAAACCAGTGACACCGGATCGATTATTCTCTTGTGATGGAGGACTTCGCTTTCTTACAGAGACTAACCACATTCGTCATGTACGAAGTGAAAATAATTCCAATGCATGGCTGGCGAGTGTACGAAATACGGTTATGCTTATGGACATGACGTACGGAGGTCAACACGTGTACAACTTTTTAAAACACGCACCATATGTCTACAGTCGTCGTGCTTTTGAAGAAATCCACAAAAAGTTTGCCAAGTACCTGGAATCCATGCTATCACACCAGATACGCCATCCGGAGGACTTAAATATGCCGCTACTGCACCACATTTACATGCAGGAAGAGGGTTCCAAGGCTTTGGGTATTCCTGTTGAGCTGAATCCCATTAGCGAATGCCAAGACTGGGTACTGCTGCGTGTGAAGGATAATTACGATGACTTGCTCAATGCACATTTTAAGAAGGCACTAGATAACAAGGGACCCGAGGTTTTGCTGGCGTTGAACGATGAGTTTAAGAATCCAAAAACGGCTGAATTGGTTGGCCGCTTCTACTCCCAGCTGCTGCCAGAGCCTGCTTTTATCGAGTTGCCCGAAGGCCACCACGTGAGCGTGGTGAGCAACTGGCACGGTGACGACTGCGCGTACGACCCCAATGTTATCCCGCTACCGGAGCCGGACTTCATGCCATTGCGAGCAGAGGACGATGCAGTCGACTGGAAATCTGCACCGACATTAACTCGACACCGCTCGCCCAATGAGCTCGTTTTTGCCAACATGACACCGTCGTTCGGCTGGAACTTGGCCTCGATCGTTGGCTATGGTTTTGGTCTCATCACTGCCGCAGTGGTCTCCATCTACATTGTTCGGTTTTCGAGCAAGGGGACTTTGTCGCTACGCGTCACCAAGCAAAATTAAGCGACTGGACCCAAACGCCTTTTTGCTGTTGCTGGTGCCGACAGTAGATGAAGCAAACACTAGTAATGAATCCATACTCGATCGCTTCATATTCAATTGGGTCGCTCGCTGGCTGTGCGTCTTGTTCTTTGATAAAGCAAAGCAACAATTATACGGGTTGAAAAAGATCATCACAACCGTCTATTCTGCTCAGACTGCTGTCGAGTTGTGCACATTAGCACTCGTACAATAAATGTATGTATCAAAGCCTACCAACCATCTTGTCTCAATTTCGGCTATAGCGCATCATACTGCCGGCTCACAGTAACGCCTTCGCCATTGCTCTTGAAAAAACCTCTGCGCTTGTTTCTTCATCCAGTCTCTTCTTACACCTTGTCGTACGGACCAACCTTCTTCTTCGAGCCAATGGGTGCCTTGTTACGACGCTGTACAAGCAAAGCGAGGATGTACATGATAATGCCGCCAAGGCCAAAGCCCATACCACGTAGCAAGGAATTAGTAAATGCCACCCAGCGCAGCTCGCGATACGCAATCACTTGGTACTTTGGTGCAGCTTCTACCCTCGGCGGAGACGGCGGCAAGACTGCCGGGTCCACTTGGCATGAGCCAGGCTTGTGCACGGAAAGCGCGTTCGGTTCCGAGCCTGGTTTGCGCTCAAAGCTACTGGGTTCAGAAAAGAGCTTTTCGAGGAATGCAATGACCGTGTCAGCTACACGCATATCCGTGTACTCGTCATTAAGCGCGACAATTTTGTAAGGCGAGGAACCGTCCAAGATCCGTCCAAAAATTTGCTTGAGACTGTCAATGTTGTTGTTCTTCATGAGAATCAGTTTGTATCCGGTCATTTGTTCTGCAGGGGGTGAGTAAATAGGAATACCGAGCTCTTCACTGCCCTGGGCAATCATATAGTAATGATGCAGCAGTGGCATGTTCATATCTGGTTTGGCACGGAACTTGCTCTTGAGTGTCATATACAGCGGACGATCATAGATCTGGTGAAGGCGTTCAAATGCCCGACGTGAGTAAACATAGGGCGCGTGTTTAATGTAATAGCGATCCGTCTTCCCCCAGCGTAGATCCATTTCTTGCTGTGTATTGAGGACGGATGAAATCCAAATGCCTTTCTTTGGTGTAGGCGGAGCGTGAGAGATCAGTCCACCTTCATGTAGTAGTCGAATACCTCCGTCACATGAAAAGAACTCGTGTGGAGCAATGGGTTTTAGAAACATATAGTCATCATTCACTTGCATGTAGATATCCGAAAGACCTGGAATTCGATACAGAAATTGTTCAATTACGTGCGTATTGAACGTCGGTAAAAAGGGTTTGGCATACTCTGGAAACAGATCGTCCTGATTGATTACTTTAATCCGTGGATTATTCATGTCAACCCAATGAGGAATATGACCAGGTGTCACAAGAAAGATTTGTCCCGTGTGCCATGGTACATTTTTTTCAAATGATCGGATTGAGTACAGAAGTTCACCAATCTCTCGGTCCCGCGAACCCCCAATGGCTTTTTTACCGCCAGTCTTTTCACGTAATTCACGGTAGCATGGTAGACTACCATTAACCCACGTATAGACAATTGAAAGACGACGTAATTGCTCAAAGTTTTTGATCGGACATTGTCCTGGCCATTGATGTAGCATCGTTTGTGTATTATACCGTCTATCCTCTTCATCCGTAAGTTTGTCGTAAGTATAAGGCGTCGGTGTCTTCGTAAGCAAGTACATGACCAAGAATAATGCACCACATACTGGCAATACAACAATATAGCGAAGATTACGTCGATGATTCATTGTCAAGCGTAGTCGGACGCCCATGGAAGGCTTCATGAGGTGAATATCTTTAAAATCTCGAAGTGTCTATGAATTAGCAAAAGTACGTGGCGTATTATAAGGTAGGGGAAGGTGTTATTCATTATAGGCTAAACGAGTCGGTGATTTTTTTCTTTTTAGCAAAAATCTGGTCTAAAGCGATATCCTTAGGATTTGACGATTTTATGTGATAAAACAAGGTATTAGATAAAGAAGTATAGGTTTTGACTAGAGGATAATTGTTGAGATTGGTAGTACTTCGCAGATAAGATAGGTTATCAATTATTAGAAGGAAAGAAGCTGGTCAATTCGGAGCGGAAAAACCTATCGACAAAGTGCTGTCAGTGTGCGATTTGACGATGTAAATGTGCAGAGTCAGGCTCAAATATATCCTTCAGCGCTCTTCACTATTGAATCTCTTGCCGTGCTGCTGTAGAATTTGTGTCGGTGTTTATTATAAGTGTATGTAGAATATATTCTGTCAAATTGCAAGCAGCTTGTAGAAAAGTAGCAATCGATCTTTTCTTCACACTGACAAGTCGATCTTTGGATGCAGAAAGATACCATTCAGCTGTCCCAACGTTGGTACAATGTGCGACCAGTCATAGGCGAGTTTTATATTATAAGGTCTATGGATACACCAACTTTTGCACACGTCCAGCACCACTATGCTCCGATACCAATACAATCTACAATACAATTGATATGATATTTACAAGGAGTTTCGCACTCTCTAACAAACAAAACAAATGCGATTCCATGCAATGCCTAAGATTTCAATGCACGTTTTAGCTACGTTTCGTCTGATCGTAAAGCAAATTTTTCGTGTCTTCAATGTGGTCCACTTCTGCAGGATGTGCCTCTCTCTCTCTCTCTCTCTCTCTCTATGTGTACCACACGGACATTGCTTGGTGGAGAAACTACCAAGTCTCAATTGCATTGAAATTTCTGTCGCATTTGGCATCGCAGCTTCTCTTTCGAGCCCGTCAGTATCACATCTTAGAGAAAAATCATGGCAGACGAATGGCCGACAGCTGCATCGGAATACAAGATTATTGAACAAATTGGTCAAGGTGCTTTTGCAAAAGTATGGAAGGCATATTGTGCCCCCAAGAAGATTCACGTGGCTATCAAGATTATGGACTTGGAAAAGATTACAACAAGTTTTGAAGATATTCGAGCGGAAGTTCAGACGATGAAGATGACAAATCATCCGAATGTTTTGAAATGTTATTGTAGTTTTGTACACAAGGACCAATTGTGGCTTGTGACACAGCTTATGAACAAAGGCTCGTGTCTCCACGTGATGAATCTCTTTAAAAAGAAGGGATTGGGTGAAGGACTTAAGGAAGATTTTGTGGCTGTCGTCCTACACGAGACACTCAAGGGACTACAATACTTTCATGAAAATGGACAGATTCATCGAGACATTAAGGCTGGTAACATCCTATTGGACAGTGAAGGACATGTCGTCATTGCTGATTTTGGGGTCTCGGGATGGATGATGGAAGGAGGTGATCGTCGAAAGAACCGACAGACTTTTGTTGGTACGCCTTGCTGGATGGCTCCTGAAGTCATGGAACAAGTACGTGGCTACGACTACAAGGCTGACATTTGGTCGCTTGGGATTACTGCTTTGGAGCTCGCCAAGGGGTATGCCCCCTATGCGCGCTTTCAACCCATGAAAGTGCTGCTGCTTACTCTGCAGGAGGACCCGCCGTCGCTCCGCACGTATGATGTACGTTAATACGTTTACATTTGAAGTAAAGTGTGTGGCTTGAATTGAAGTCCCTGACATTTTCTGTGTTTTACAGGATGATGGCAGCGGTCACCAGTTTGGACGACACTTTAAAGATGTGGTCAAGCTCTGTTTGCAGAAGGACCCATCCAAGCGGTAAGTCAGCCATTTTTTGCTTACAATGACGAGTGATGCAAGCGACTAATCGTTGCAGCTTTGTGGTTATAGCCCTGGTACGTCGGCGCTCTTGAAGCACAGTTTCTTCAAGAAAGCAGGAGATACAACATATCTTGCGCGAAACCTCCTTAACAACATCGAAGACATCGGAGAAAGTTGCATGACGGCCGGTATTGCAGATGCATTGCCTGGGTAAGAAGAGTCGAGACGGATATAGCTTCTATATGGGCGTGCAAGTGAGCTGATTGCGTTTTGTGCCGCATTTCCATTGCTTTGTAGCGCTGGACCGCTATATGCGAAGGGAATGAAAAGACCTCCGGGATCGGAAGCGGAAGGATCAAAATACGTGCCTGGGACGACTTGGGTTTTCGATGACGAAGAGGATGATTCGTCCAAGATGTCGATGGACGATTTCGCCAGCCAGTTTGATATGGTGACAGGCGGCGAGGAATTCCGCTCCAAGTAAGCAGCCGGACGTATCAAACGTGGCGTTCTTAACGAAGTCTGGGGAAGGAGGAAATGTCTTCTAGGAGGTGGCTGCCAACAGGTTGTCCACCCTCGTAGAAGAAACTTTAATCGAGGTCTGTTTGTTTTGTGTCGCTTAGGAAAAGTCATGGTCAGTGACCTCGTTTTCTTGACTTGCATGCTTATTACTAAAAATAAGACTTGCAACGAGAAAGAGACATGCTGATGATAGATTACATAGATCGCGACCTCAAAAGCGAAATTGAAGTGACGCTTCCATCGTTAGTACTCGCCACCGCCATAGCCTACTAAAAATTCCAATGCTTTCAACATTCGCTGCAGGTACCGAGATTGATTTTTCTGTTACTCAATACTGCAGCGCTCGATCATACAAACCCATCTATTCTCCCATCCACATCGTCAAACATCCCGACGCCCGTTAACGCTTACCTGTTGTCTTACGCGTGTATTCTCTTGACCAAAGCACACAACCGCACGCGGCATTAGCGATGGCAACAGAGGCTGGACGAACCAAAGAGAGAAATCCAGCAAACAACGCCAGCACGAATGCTAGTATCGAAGATACCTATTAAACCACAAACTTCGCGCCACTAAAGTAAAATATTCCGCCCCGACTTCGCCCTTGCTGTGATAGCGAAACATGCCCCCCTTTGGTTTTCCGGTCGCGTCCATATTTTCGTCAACAAAACGATTCAAAACAAGACGCTGATCCCCCAAGATGCAGCTACTATTGACACGAAACAACTCCATATCCGACAACGAGTCTAGTGCACAGACAATGCCAAAGGCAGCAGGCGGTACCACCAAGAATCCAAGTAACTGTAGAACGCCTACAGGAATTAAACAACGCTAAAAGCAGTGTTGTTTATTGCTGTAAGCGTTCTTCTCAAAAGCGTAACGTAATAGCTTTTGGAGACTGATCAATTCCGTTGTCGCAAGTGAAGTAAGAATTGCGGGTTCTACGTTCGTGTCGGGCTTGACACGTATAACAGTTGCCACCCATAATTTCGCCGTCTGGATGTTGCCACTCTTCTGTTTTGGCGGGACATAAGGACGATAGCCATAAGTAACTGCCTGCTGCATATCGTTGCTGTCGCCACCCACATCCTTCCACACTCCATTTGTATCCGTCAGCAAGTTTCGCTTGGATGACGACAAAATACCCTCATCCACCTTATCACATGCTTCCGGCCCATTCACGACCGCTGAGAGCTCCATCATCACCAAACGAAGGATCCGACAAAACCTCACGCTGACCCATACTCACCTTCACTTTTTTCTTCTCTGGCAGTTCATGGGCATCACCACAAAGTTCAGATCGAAGTTGTAATTACAACTTTCCATCACGTTTCATGCTGAAGGTCCACTAGCCGTAGACATGGCCATCACTGGTACTGAGGCCCGTGTAGTTGTAAATGCCGTGATCTGATTTCGGTACAAATGCTCCTTCTTGGGCGACACTAAAGCTACAAAGTCTATCAAAGAACTTACCGAGCAATTTGCACTCGCCCTGAGAGTGTCATAGGTCCCACATAAATCACAAACTTGCCACATCTGTCGCAAAAATCGGCCTTCAGATACACGTCGTAGACATGAGCAGCTTCTTTTGATGTTTTGCACATTGTTAGTAATGTATTTTGCATTGTACTTGGCACTCCATATCGTCTTGTTAGTTTGTATCACGCCATTGTACTTGGATGTCTATATAACATTGTAATACAGAATTAGTGAGATGACTACGTGGAAATTTAGCTCATTATTAGTTTACCGAATAGGCCAAAAGGGTGTACCCATTTGAATGACCAAGTGGTGTGGCATGGGGTGTCGAAGCTAGTATAAAATTTAATTGTATAAATTCAAAATTAACATTAATTTTTTTCTCGTTAGAGTGCCATCGGCTAAAATATAAAATTAAACAGACCAGACAAAAATGATGGAATTGCATATTAAAGTGTTTAAGGACCTGCCGCCATTGAATGATAATGATAAAGTATGTAACGTCTTAATACAGGGTCAATTTGTTCGCAAACGCAACTTATCGTACGTCAATAAGCATTGCAAAATGTTTTTTTAATAATGTGTCTGATGTATTCTTTCTATTTCTACTGTAGCAAAAGTCTCATGTTTGGTGATATCCAGTTACAGGATGGAGGTGAAATGCTTGCTCTATGGGTAATTTATATATAAAACTCCTTAACGTTATCACTAACTTGTCAATGTTGCTGCATATGATTTTGTTTGGTAGAATTGTTGGAGGTCATGATACGTGCGGAGGAAGGGGTACTGGATATCACGACAATTCGCCAGATCAATTGGGACGTGCATCTCGGCGACATGGTCACGGCTCAAGGAATGTTACAATGTAAACGTCATGAAGTAGAACACCCGGATGAATGGCTTTTTGTGCTCCACTCCATTCAAGTGGATGAACTCTGGAGTCTGTATCACACAAGCACCAAGTTTAGCTACATTGGCCCCGACTCTGTTGATGTAAAAGGTTCGTGGATGTTGCCACCTTCTTCAAAGGCAGCAACAGCAAATAAGTACACCAATATGGTTGTATTGAACGGCTTCAACACCTGCAAGTACTATTTCTCGTCCTCGAATGGTACCAATTGCCTGCGTGGAGAGCAATGCCACTTTTGGCATGGACAGCCTGCGGATTTTAAACAAAATCGACGCCGATGGATGGCGAAGCGGCTCGAACAGCGTGCAAAAGCTGCACAACTGGCAGGTGATAGTAGCGATCCTCACTCCAAAATCGACAAGGCGCAACGTAGCCGCATCTTCTGCGATTGGCTTGTGGACATTTTAGGAAATGAACATCTTGCCTCAGGAACGGGTGTTGTTGATGTAGCTGGTGGTAAAGGTGATATCCCGATTCAACTCTGGATTCAACGAGGTATTCCGACAACGCTAATTGACCCGGTAGGTTGCAGATGTTACATTGATGGACTTCCTTCTGTAGGTGGTTGAATGCGGCGTATCTTATCTCTGTCTCTTGTGCACCTCAGAGACCCATGAAACTTGGCAAATACAACCGAAAACTTGTTGCTAAGGCGCAAGCTGCTGACGGTCGCAAGATGAGCCCTCAATTGCTCCGCTGCCTCGATGACGAAACATTGAAGTTGCACAAGGAGCTGTTTACAGACTGCTCTATTCTCGTTGGCATGCACCCAGACGAGGCCACTGAAGCTATTGTTGACGCTGCTATGACGCTAAGAAAGCCATTTGCCGTTGTGCCTTGTTGCGTGATGAGCCGGGCATTTCCAAATCGCCAATGCCGTGATGGCACACTTGTCGACACGTACGAGACATTCGTAAGATATCTTTTAGAAAAGCATCCATCAGTTCAAAGCGCATTCCTGCCGTTTGCTGGCCGCAATCAGGTGCTGTACCTTTTCGACTACGACGAGGGACAAAGAGCGAGCGCTAAAATCGTTGACACAACCAGCACATAACTTCCCGCTGTTACTCCAATACACATTCCTGCTCTTTGTCTCATCCTGCTGGCTCACTTGAACATCCTTCAATTCTGCGACTTCTGGTTTCGAATAGCGTTTCGAGCGTTTAACGTGAGCGGAAGCAACCGTAGTACACGGTCTATGGGTCGGTTGCACACCAAACAACCGACTTTCATTCGGTACTGGCGTTTTGCACACGCGTAGCAGCAATACACGTGAAGATAGAGACCGTGCACAACGCCTGCATCGCGTTGGCTTGCGTCACATGCCAAGCACATGAGGTCGTCGATGTCTTTTTCGTGCTTGACAAGGTTATCGCCCTTCTCGTCATCTCCGATCGCGGCTAGCTCGAGACTCTGTTCTTGCTTTCTTTTCGAGTGAGGTGTACCAAGTGATGAGCTCCTCTTTACTTTTTGTTCTTCATCAGTGGCTTGATTGTCACCATTACTTTCACATGTATCCACTCGCTGTTTCTCTTCCCTCTTCTCCATTACTGCTTCTTCATCCTCAGGGTCCTCCTCTTCACTTTCAGCGACAAACGCATCTAGTGTGCCTCGACGAGACTCTGCGCTTGTATATATTGACGCACGTGATGGTAGCGGAAGAAAATCACTTGTCATGTTGTGCCGTGTAATTCGTTTCCAAACGTTTGGCATATACACAAATACTCGCTTCGAGTCCTCAGCGAACTTTTCCACTAGGCCCACTAACCTTTTGTACCGACCGAATTCTTGTGTAAAGAATTCATTGCGGTATTGCTCAGCGATTCGCCCCGTGCTATCTGCACACTTCTTAATCTTCGCGTCAACCAATATGCACCAGAATTGTTTCGCATGCAACAATTGCCAATATGCTAATGTTCGCTACATCCGATTATCCATAACAAACACCATTAGCTTTCGTTATCTATCCCACAAGACGATACGGCAAAAAACAAATCTTACTGCATGGCATACGCTGCCCATTTCAAACGCAATTTGGACGGAGGCTGCCTCCTTGGTAGTTTTCTTGAGGCTGATCATTACAAAACACAAAACTTAGCGCTTCAAGCAGGTAGTATGAATTATTTTTTGCAAACGTACTGGCGCATCCAGTTATGACCGTAAAGCTTTGTAGCATCACAGGCCACGCCGGCAAGTTCTACGTGGCAGGTAGCAACATGCTGGCGACGGTTGCAGGCCTCGCAATCTTGTTCCGTAGAGACATGGCTTGAGCGAAAAAGCGAAGCACACTTTAGCGCATCCACCATTCGTTCAGGCCATGCAACACCTGATCGCACGCTATCCCGGCAGGAACAAAGTTTTCGCTCAATCTGTAGGTTGAACACCAAGGAATACGTAAGCATACGATGTTATATATTTCGTAGCTGAACAAAACATACTTACGCGATTGACAGCCTGGTCATAGAGCTGATGCTTTGCCTTCGATCGTTTACGACGCATTTTGTTCTCAAAGTCTGGATCAATGATGCACTCCTCTAGATATGCCAGGTAGATACTAAACCATTCGTTAATCTCGCGCGAGCGTCCTGCTGCCAGTGCTGCTGTCAGTTCTTCGGTGTCGTCTTCCATCTCGTCATCTGGCATCCCAATACTGATCACACCTTCCTCATCGTCGTCCATGTACTCAATCTCATCATCGTCACAAATAAAATCGTCCACATCCTCTCCACCATCCGCGTAAACTCTTTCACGATCATCTCGCTCTCCCTCTCGTGGGAGCGGCCGTCTTCTCTTCTCGGATGGCGGTGCTACAGCCTCTTCTTGCTCCGAGTCCTCTGCATCATCATCATCATCATCGACTCCATTTTGATAATGCGGACCTAAACTCTGTATATTGTCCAGATACCGGGTAAGCGAGCTTCCTTGCACTACCGTGCTGTGCTTTCTTCTCCTGGCGATTGTGTTGAATTCTTGAGCTGCGTCTAGATGCTGACGACATCGCATCATCGTTTCTGTTCTCCTTCTCAAAGTTTTTCTCCTCGTCCTGCTCTTTCGCAGTAGGTACGAGTACCTCGTCACTGTCCTGGATCGCGACACGTCGGCTTTTGCGTCCGTTGCTCGTCTTGAATCTGGCAGACGGTGGATGGACGATGTAAACGTCATCATCATCGTCCTTTCCCTTGTCTTCATCATGATTATAGTGCCGTCCACGATCTTCATGAGCTATAGCAGCTGAGATCGAAAGCTGCTGCAGGTTTCGACGCGAGCGACGCACAGGCGTCGGCGTACGTAGCGTCATATACTGCGAGGAGATGCCGTCTTTACCTATATGAAGCAATTGCTGACGCCGCGGGATAGAAGACGAACGTGCTAATGTCTTCGTCTCTTTCGTCTTCATCTTCTTCCTCTCTTGGTCTTTGGTCTGTTCCTTCTCTTCTTCTTCTTCTTCTTCTTCTTCTTTGTCGTGGTCCGTCATTATGTTGGAGCGACGGCGACGCTTACGTGACTCTGGAGTGATGATGCACACCTCCTCCTCTTCATCGGTTGAATCGCCATCGATTATTACTTCCTCGTGCTTCGCCATGGCGGGAATGTTATAAGCCAACTGGTGTATCGATATGGCTACATAATGTAGCCATATCTGTACACACAATGTAGCCATATCTATACACCAGTTCGCTTATAACATTCAGACATGGCTACATAATGTAGCCATATCTATATAAAGTGATATTTGATGACGACAACATGAAGCACATGAAAGGGTTTGGTGGAAACGTATGGAAAAGGCATCTATGTCCCAGGCCCTCAGCACTTAAAATGGATATAGAAATGACGACGTAATAGGCATCAAGACACACACAAACATGCGAGTGCCAAATTCACGCAGGAAGCGGAGGATCTGACAATGATGTCGGCAAGGAAAAAAACTGGTCACAGCGTGATGGCTGGTTGTTGTGAGTGAGAAACCGTCTTTAACAAAATGGCCACGAATGTCGTCGCAACGTGGACAATGGAGAACCGACAACGACATTCATATAATGAAGATTGATGTTGATCAAAAGTTCCAGTATCCCTTGTTCGGGTAGAAGGAAGCCTGTCCTTGACATCATGCCAAACGTCCCAAAGCAGGTTTAGGATGATCTGACCGACTGGTTTACAGAAGAACAGGTATCTGGAACCATTATACCGGGTAGCAACCTCTACTTCGTCCAAGTAGATTATAATCATGATACAATCGCACAATACTCAAATACTTGTCCTCTTTCCTTCTACCAGCTGCAGCTAAATGTCCAGAACTCGGAGCGTCAGACGTCGAGACATGGCAATCTCTGACGACTCCATCATCATCCGGTAGATGCGTTTCTCGCTGCAGCCAGCCTTCGTAAGCATCGTAACACGCTCCAAAGGCTTCATCCAGCGCACCTTGCGACGTCTCGTTGTCCGCTTATCCCGGACGACTTTCTTCCCGTCACAGTTGATCGTCCTCGAGGGCGTCAATGCCGTCTCGTCCTCTTCCTTCTTCATCACCACGACGTCATCCAGAAACGTGCTCCATATACAGCGAGGTTTTCTTGCAAGACCGACAGAAGGTCCACCGTGTTTAGGCACTGCACTACCACCCAAACCGACGCCAAACTCGTACACTGTAACGGTTGACCATCGGACACTTTTCTTCATCTTTAGGACAGTCCCTTGTCGTTAACTAAAAGCTTTTCTCAAATGAAAAGAAGTAAAAAGAGTTTCGTTCTTTTACGAGAAGCGTCAGCAATTTCTTCGAGGAAGCACGAAAGACACGAGCTACCATCCATCCGTCCTAATATATAGAATTCACTATAGTCGCCTCTCCCCACATTCTCGAGCTTAAGCACAATTACACAAAAACACTCGACTGAACGAACATGACTTAAACCTAACCATGCTGTTTATATTTTAACGAATCACAAGGCTCCGCTGATGCCGTCATGGCCATACATTTACCAAGCTATACCGGTTCAACAAGTAAATTACTGGTCTGGGACTGACTGTTTAAGTGAAATTACGAATGTATAAAGTTAAAAAGGCATCAATGTGAAATAAAAAGGAAAACCGGTATTCACGTTGTTTTCTTTGACGCTTTCATACATTTCTACAGTATCATGTGGTAAATTTTATCCACGGGGGTAGGTGTGTATAGTATCGTAAAAAGCACGTGATTAGCTAAAATAAGGGAATTGAGACTGCGGAAGAAGGAAAATTGGCACGTGAGACTGACATTACTTGACCCTCTTTAGTCCCATTAAGCAGAACGAACAACCAAGTGACCGCTTTTGAACTACTTTACGAGCAACTACAGGTGATACTTTCGTCTATTCATCGACAGTCTCTTGAAAACAGGCGACCACAGGTGTAAAAATATAGCGTACGATTTTCCTACTAAAAATTAGGAAGAAATTGCTAATTCGTCGACTATTTTGTAGATGTTTAGTCTAAATCCACGGCAGTCGATGCAGTCTGTCCTGCAATCAAGTGGCAGTGGTGGTCATTCCATGCGCAGTTCATCGTCCTCTTTTGTGTCTGCAACGTATGGCAATTGTCAAAGCAGTGGGAGCTATCGGAACGTGGACGAGTCACTTGTGCCGTCATTTGAAGTGCTTAATCCATACGCAAAGGTTGGAAGCAGTATGACGGGTGATGACAAGCGTTGGCAGCCAGTACCAGACTTATTTCATTCGAAAGAGTCCCTGTACTTTCGTTCAGCAGTGGGTAAAGTACTTAAAACGGCACATGAAGAAATTTCTCCAGCAGAATTGGAAGTACGGGCAAATACACCGGAATTTAAGGTGGAAGAAGGTGATTGGATTGCGCACGATTCGAATCAGAAGAACCAATTTGCACTGATTACACCTCTCAAGACTGTGGCCAGGATTCCAGCTAACCTCATTATTTCCAATGAACCAATTTCGTTAACACAACCAATTAGTAATCACATGGGTGGTTATCTTCGTAAAAAAGGAGAGAAAAACAAGGCATTTAAGAAGCGATACATGGAACTCAATGGCAGTGTCTTGGCTTATTACAAGAAGAAACCAGTCAAGAACGGAATTCCACTGAGTCGTGACGAGAAAAAGACATTGGAACGAGGACGCATTGATTTGGATCGAGTATCGTCTTTACAACCTATGGAATCCAAGACGGAGCCGTATGGTATTCTTTTGGTCACGACGGCGCGTACGTGGGCCATTTGTGCAGACTCAGAACCTGAGTATCAGCGGTGGTTAAAGGCTCTTTGTGACGTTGTCAAGTTTAGTGCAGTGCACGTCACGTACAAACGTATGTTTCAGTTACAGGAAGTGAGTGCAAAAGCTATTACTGATGTTCGAATGGTGGTCACAACGGGTGATACGGTTGGACAGATTGTGGAGCATATATTCAACTGCTACGAGCAAGCTCTGGATGCAGCGCCGTTGAGACCATACAATCCAGCAGAATACCGACTGAAAATCACTGGATACCGTGACTATATGATTGACAGGTTCCGTGTGCTAAATGAATATGTTCACGTTCGTGAGTGTCTTTTGACCAAGAAGACAATTCGTTTGACTGTGATTCACGAGTCAGTGATCCAGGAGACAGCTATGATGAGTTTGAGTATTGGTAGAGATCTCCCGGTGAATCGTGGATCGATGAACCATATCGTTAACCAGTTTGCAGATATGTTTGATGGTGAGCGGGGAACGTCGTTGCAGATGACAACCTTGGGCGATGAATGGGAACGTCCGTCAGTAGACCGCAACCCGTCGTTACCCAGCGGAATAATTCAACAGCCTTTTGCTATCCGCATTCGTCGAGTACTGAATATTCCTCGTACGACGTGCGTAAGGAAGCGCTCAAGTGAAGAAGCCATTGTGAGTCGGGTTCCTTTGATTAGCTCGAGTGTGATTGTTCGCATCGAGCTGTATGACGGTAGTCATCTACTAGATAATGCTGTGATCGACACGACAGACGTTCGACTGAAGGCTCAACGGAATGACTTGCTGTACGCCGAATGGGAAGACGCTGTGTGGCACAAGTTTAACATTGATATTTGCAACATCACGCGCACGATGCGAGTCCAGCTTACAGTTCTGGGCGTGAAGAAAGTTGTTGGAGGTTCAACCTCGAGCATGGACGCGGTCGAGGAAAAGATGCTGGTGACTGGTGTGAACGCGTTCGAGGTGGATGACTCGCTTACACAGGGGCAGCAGTATGTGCACATGTACAACAACCTGCACACGTGTATCCAAGGTCCTGTGCCTCACGTGGCACTGCCTAACGAGCCCTTAATTCAAGTAGAGTTTTCCAGGTTTGATACGCCGATCAAGTTCAACTGGGATGATGATGGATCATCTCTGAGTGATCGCTCTCAACGCCGTAGTATGATTACAGGTAGTCGATCTGTGATGCTGCGTAAAGAGGGGTGGCTCCAGAAAGTGGGCAACTTTTCGTCTTTCACTCGATGGCGTCGCCGTTGGTTTGTTGTGGATCAGACCACTTGCACGCTTAGTTACGCTGACGACGAGACTGCTCCTCGTAAGCTGATCACTTTGCATAATTGCTCAGTCATGACTGCAGATGACATGAACCAGAAGTTTACGACGGCTCCTGTGAATAAGGGTACGCGGAAACTTCGCCAGACGTGGTGTTTTAAAGTTCGGCCTTCGGGTTCGTCTCGTGATTATATTATCTCTGCTGAAACCAAGCAAGATCGCGAGGAATGGATGCTTGCCATACAGACTGTTGCAAAGAATGATTCAAACATTGACTTTGGGAGCACCAATGGAGGCTTTGAGGATTTGAGTATGTTCCTTGCCGCTGAAAGTCCCTGTGCTGAAAGAAACAACGATCATCTTGACGGCAAAAACATTTTAGAGAGTATTGCTCAGGACCGACGTGATTCGACCTCCCGCAGTAGTAGGCACAGCTTGTCTCAACATGAATCTACCCAGTTAAACGAACTACGCAAGCTCATTTTGCTAGACCCGCTGTACCGGTTTAGTCCGTATCAAAAGGAGCAGCTATGGATGCACCGCGAAGAATTCATTGATATACCAGCTGCCCTTCCCCGAATTCTTTCGTGTGTTCACTGGGAAGACCGTGAGGAGTGTGAGGAGGCATTGAACTTGCTTCCGACTTGGTCTGTACCTGACCACCAAGCAGCGTATGTCGAGCTGTTGAATGGCGAGTTTGCTCACGAAGGCGTGCGCTCATTCGCAGTAAAGAAGCTAGGTCAAATGGCTGATACGACGTTTAGCTACTTCTTGCCACAACTCGTGCAAGCCATTAAGTTCGAGAACCATCACGTTTCGCCCCTGTCCATGCTCCTCATAGAACGAGCAATTAAGAACCCGAACCAGATTGGTTTTGATCTCTTCTGGAGCATGAAGGTGGAGGCGCACAACGACCAGTACCGTGAGCGGTATGGTACGATCTTGAACGCGTACTTGGACGTCTGCAGCTCAAAGATGCGCGCTATTCTTAAGCTGCAGGACAAGCTATTCTCGGAGGGGGGAATGCTTGAGCGCATTTGTCAGAGCGTGAAAGCGAAGAGGAAGGATGGCGCGGCTGAAATGAAACGTGCGATGCAGCTCGGCTTGGAGGCATTGAACGAGCTTCTGCCAGGTTCGTTCCAACTGCCGCTTGACCCTCGTATTGAAGTGGGCAAGATTATCGTAAGCAAGTGCCGCGTGATGGATTCGGCGAAGAAGCCATTGTGGTTGGTGTTTGAGAATGCTGAGGAGGGAGGCGATCCTGTAACAGTAATGTTCAAGGCCGGCGATGATGTTCGTCAGGATTGTTTGACGCTGCAATTGATCCGTTTGATGGACGAGATGTGGCGAGACGAGGGTCTAGATTTGGCAATGGAGCCGTACAAGTGTGTGGCGACATCACCAATGACTGGCATTCTTCAGATGGTACCAAACTCGGTCACGACGGCTGAGGTGCACAGACGTGATGGTATGATGGGGACATTTAAGGATCCTAGTTTTTCTGACTGGATTTGTGCAAACAATCCTGATCCAAGAAGTCGAAAGGCTGCTGTTGATCTTTTCAGCCGCTCCTGTGCGGGCTACTGTGTGGCTACGTGTGTGCTTGGCATTGGTGATCGACACAACGACAATATCATGGTACGTGAATGACTATGGGGGTCGATCAGCAGTTTCAGCATTGACCTAATGCTCTTTTGTTGTGATATTCAGATCGCATCATCGGGTCGCTACTTTCACATTGACTTTGGCCACTTCCTTGGTCATCTCAAGTACTACAAGGTGCGAACGTTACTTACGTTTGGAGGTTGTTTGCTTGTTTTGCTAATCAATGTATTTGAATAATGTTATTCAGCTGGGAATTCGTCGTGAGCGAACTCCTTTTGTGTTTACGAATGAAATGGCATACGTGCTAGGTGGAGTCGAAGGGAAAGACTTTTCTAAGTTTGTCGATACCGCTTGCACGGCGTACTGCGTGCTTCGAAGGCAAATGCATCTCCTGGTGTCGCTGTTGCTGCTGATGGTGCCGGCAGATATGCCCGAGTTGACAGGACGCGATGATATCAATCACATCGTGACGACTTTGGCACCCGAGGTATCGGACGATCGTGCTCGCGAGTCATTTGAGCAGACGATTCATTTCTGCCTTGACAGCCGATTCAAGCGTTTTGATAACTACTTGCACAACATTGCCCACGCGTTTGGATAAGGAAAAAGGATTCAAATCAGGTGCATAATGCTTGAAACGGGCACTCGAGTGAAGAAATGGGAGAAATAAGTATTTGCAGTCATGAGTGAGTTTCGGCGCGACTTTGCTGTTTTTGGGATTTATTCTTCGGTTTGTACGACTCCGGTGAAGCATAGAGAAAACAACAGACTCTTCAGGACAGCTAAGGATGCCGTACTGGATGTAGCACATGTATTGTTAATATCCAAAGTTTACTTGTAGTGATTTGACTTGAAAGATTGATCCGAACTAGATCAAAGAGTTCATTATTGTAAGTAAAACGGCAAAAATAGACATAACTTCGTGTGTAGAGTCTCAGCTGCTGAAACGTCTGACGGATTCAAGACAAAATCTGCTGCCACTAACGGCCTCGGCGTGTTGAAAATGTAAATATATATTGAAGTCGACGAATTCAAGTCTTCAGTCAAGCAAAATTTCTTCCGATAATTCTACTCCTTGGCTCTGCTCGTAATAAAGCACACCCGACTTCGAGCTTAATCGTCTCTTCCTACATCGAAAAAGACAACATCCTTCATCTTGCACCTACATCTCCTCCATCAATGCGTTCAGCACCACCTGCACATTACCGTTGCACTGCTCCAGACGGTCAATCAAGACAGCAGACTCCACGCCCGGAAAGATGTCGCGCACCATAGAGAGCTCCGCCGACCACTTGATCTCGCCCTCCGTTAACACGGGGGCAGCAGGTTCAACAACGACAGGTGCCTCTTCCACAGAAGCAGGCGTCTGCTCCTGCTCCATCACTTGCTCCCACTCACTGTCGCTACTAGCGGCAACAGGAACCTCGGCAGGCTCCACGACAGTCTCCGCAGGCTCTTCAACGACCCCAGTTTCCGTCTGCTGTTGCTGGTGCGACACCGGGGCAGGGGCGACCTCGGTCTGGAGAGGTGGCATCTTTATGTTTTTAATCTCACCCGCAACCTCCTTGGCAAACTCACCGAGGCCCTCTGCAGCACACTTGATGCCCTCCGTCGTCTCCTTCATGAGTTGATCAAAAGGAATCTCCTGGATGCTCAGACGCGCGGCATGGAACGACTCGCGAGCGTCATAAGCCACAGTCTTGAGAACCTCGTTAGTCTGGTCCAGACCTGTCTGCGCCGTCTGCTGCGCCTTCTCCGCCCACGGCTCACGCTTGACCTTCTCCATAGCGACATTCAACGTCTCCACGAGCTTCTCAATGGCCTTGAGAATCGGGTCTGCCACATTCTCCTGGAACGCAATAGCAGAACGACTCACAGCCTCAAAACGCAGCGATTTGGAGCTCTTGTCGTCCGTTAAAAACACGCGACAGGCCTCTTCATACTCAGCCTGCGACGTCACATTCAAACAGTCACCTTCTGCGTCCGTGTACTGCACCACAAAGCTGCCAGGCGTCAGGTTAAACGTCTCACTGAATAGCGCCGTCAGTGCCTCAAGAGAGAACGAGGTAAGGTCGACGCGGAGACGGTGGAGTTCGCCTCTGTAGTTGATCTTGAGTGCAGTTTGCTTGGCGTCCATTGTTGTGTGATAGATGACTTGATGTTTCTATTGGTTAAAATAGCTTCTTTCTCTTGTCGGGGCTGATTCGAGAATGAAGAAAAAGGGGGAAGAGAAAAAAAACCCTCTCGAATCGGATTTTATTTTTCTTCAACGTCTCTTCGTTAAAAAGCGAGCCAGTCAACATCCGTTGGGAGGGGTGGACTGGCTGCGACACGGGATATTTCTGTCAATATTCTAAAAAAAGCAACCGTCGAATACCGTACTGTAGTAAGTATGTACCGGTTTGTACGTATTCATGCGTCAATGTACTTAGAAAGACGTCCCGACTCTTACACACTTGGATACAGAGAATCACAAGGATTTTTTGGGCAACTTACAGGTAACATCAGAATCCTTGGCTAGTGATGGGATGCTATCAACAACAAAGTATTCACTGCTACACGCCTGCACGCTAGCTGAGTTACACATTTGACGAATTTTGAGCACTGGATTACCGTATTCGGCTCTAAAGATCGGGGCTCAATACGTTCCACACGATTTCTAAACTGGGGCTATAGGCAACATCCATACTATCGCACGAAGCAGTAGCAAATGCAGATACCGGCTCAGGATAATGCTGCGGATTGGACCTGAGGTACTAAACAAGTACACGTGAACATATATAGACCAGGGGAATATACACGGGCACCAGCAAGCACACGCCGGCAGCAACATCGCTCTTATCATCCACCATCAAGCCAACAACCCCGGAGTTTATTGGGTCATCCATCACATGATAGATGTGTCCGAAACTGATCAACAGAAGCTGGTTAAACAATCTACAACAGCGAAGGCGCTTGTATTCACAGCGTATCCGCAGCTACATGGGTTCCCATGGAGACTCCCACCCTCCATCAACAACATGCACCGTTTTAAAGGCGCTACAACGCCAACCGTTTGATGGCGTTAAACAAAAGCTACGTCCAGCACTTACGGCGGTAAGTACCAGGCTACAAACACCACTAAGACGGCTCATAGGACGGCTCCCACTTTCCGATGTCGCAGTCTCGGCACATCGGTGGGAGCACGGGCACACTCACGAAAAAACCAAACCTGGGTATGCTACAGAGTAGCTACCATTAGTTGAATCTGTAATTTACGGGACGCGACATGAACTCGACATGCAGAAGAAATCTGGCCTGCACCGGGCAATACAAAGGACTACTACAAATCCTCTGGGACTGCGTTGGTGCGTTCAAGTCTTGGGCATACATCCTTACGCAGTGGACAAGATCGGAGGCATCATCCGCTCAAATGGTCTTGTACAATCAAGCAGTTTTATCGGTATCGGCACCGAAGCTTCTTCAGGCATACGGGCGGAAAACAAGCCCGTGTTCTCAGACAACACTGACATTGTTGACCGGGCCTGGAAAATGAATATAATGGATTGTTTGTAGCATCTAGAAGGAATGTTTCCTTAACGTTAGACTCAACCAGCTGTCGCAGACTTCTCATGATATGTGGTGCACACCACGTCAAAGCAGTGTCGACGGTAGTCGCTTTAATAAATCGGTATCACCCGGTATCCTATTTGAAAGGCTTTTACTTACAATGACCATTCGCAGCATTAGCCAACGTCTTTGGATTACGCTGACATTCTTTCGTCATGTCCATGGCACCCCCGCCGTCCACCACATCTTCAAGGGAGAGTCTGTCACCCCGCTTGAATTCCACGTCCGGTAACGTTTCCATGCAATCACTACAGGGATTCCGAACCGTATCGCTCCCTGGGCTGTTCCCCGGCACGCATTTGGGCATTTTGGCCTCGGGGCTCTTAGACAAGCGACGCGACGGCGCTGTACGCGGTGGATGGGCCAAACGCCTCTTTATTTTGTCCACGCGTAGTCTACACTACTACCGAAAGGCAGAGGAGGCTGAGCTTTTCGGTAAGGAACGTGGCCAGGTCGTGCTCTCGGATATCGCGTATGCCCAGGTCGTAATGCCTGAAGACGCGCCTGCTGGTGCTGTAGAGCCCGGCCACGCGTCATACTTTGTTGCAGTAATGTCGGTACGATCCGTTGTGAAGCTTGCAGTGCTGAGAGTGTACTTACTGAGTGTTTCTATTGTTTGGACATCATTTTTACAGAAACGGAAGACACTGCTGATGTTTTTGCGTGCCGATTCGTTTGAGTACGCCAATAGCTGGGTCAGTATCGTGAACAATGCCGTACATACTGCTAAAAGCGTCAGTTTTGCACCACGATGGACGGAAGAGACCATGCAGTCGTTTATTTCAGTAGCTTCCGGGTACGAGGTTGATGTCTTGGATGTAGAGTGGAGTTGAAGTGGGACTAACAAGTGTCGTAATGGCTACGATTATGGCTGTAGCATTGTTGAAGAGGTAGAACCAGCAGCAGCAACGGAATCACCCACAGAGGTGGTAACAACGAGTCCGACTGTGACAGTAGGTTTTTGTAAACGACTGCTTAATGATATAAATTGGAATCAATCAGCAGCTGATCATATTGTGTGTCATCTTTTTTATAGCCAAAGATGCCTTCAGTGCTTGTTGTTAGCATGGTTTCTGGGCCTCTGGGCGCGTTGAGCACAACTGAGAGACTAGTCAAACGAAATGTTGAGCTCAATACGGAACTTCAGCTGGGTGCGTTTGAGCAAAAGGACACGTGTGTCATCGTGCTGAGTAACGGTGAAGAGCTTTACATCCCACGACGAATGCTGGGAGACGATTTTAAAAGTCTGCTTACTAGCACAAAACAGCTTGAAATGACGACTCCGGCGCGCAGTCAACTGGTGCGTCCTCACATCGTGTCGATGTCCAGAGTTTCTGGTAGGTGTTTGGCTTTGCATACGCTATTGTGCTATTGAATGGAGTCATCGCTTAATGTTGTGTGTATAGTTTCTTTTCGATGTGAACGGGCTCCTCCAGTGTCAATTACACGACGAGACTCAAGCAACATGCCAGTAATGTCATCGCTGCCGTCAACATTCACAGTGGCTTTTCCAGGCACACTTGGTGGGCTGTTCTTGATAAGCTGTCTGGTATCGTTCTACTGCGCTGCACCTTTTGCTGGCTTGATGAAGATTACGATTGTGCTTGGTTTACTCTTGTCCGTCTCGCAGATCACGCAATTTGTTATCTGGTAAGTTTGTACTTCATTCTTGCAGGTAAATGTACTCGAAGTTGCGTAGAGATGACAAGTTTTTTGTACGCTGGGAACTCTAGTTTATCAAATACTCATAGCCAAAAGCACTTGAACTCTGCCGTGACACTAATTGGTGGGTCTACGAAAGCAGCGGGAAATAAATTTGTTTGCTGTATAGCGATCAACAAAATTGAAGTGATAGAAGCCGATCAGGATTTGGAGCTCGCGCTGTCCGATACGGCGTCTTCTGTTCCGAGCGCTGACGGTTTTACAGAGACTGAAACACAAAACATTAGCGGTGGACCGATTGCGTTCTCTCCACGATTCATTGCAGGTGAAAAGGGCGACGTCGAAAAGGGTCGTGCACGATATGTGGCTACATTGGAGTGGCGCAAGGAAAATGGCATCGACGATATCTTAGTGACACCGCATCGGACTTTTGAGATTTTCAAGAGGTATTATCCTCAATTTTTTCACGGCAGAACTCGCGATGGCCTACCCGTATACTACGAGCGACCCGGTAAAATTGATCTGGCGGCACTTAAGCGCGAAGGACTTTCGATCGATGATCTGCTGCGCCACTACATGTACATTACGGAGTACCTCTGGCGGGTACTGGAGCCCAACGACGAGGCACGCTCAATGACAGTGTTGGATGTGGCGGGCATTGGCATGTACGACCTCGGTGGAGAAGTGCTGGACTTTATCAAGCGCGCCTCTGCATTTACCGGTGCCCACTATCCTGAGCGCAGTGCTCGCATTTTCATCATCAATACTCCTGGTTGGTTTAACATGGTGTGGCGCATGGTAAAGCCGCTGATTGACCCCGTGACGCGCGAGAAGGTACGTACTCATTAAACTTCACGGCAGTTACTTGTAATCGTGGACCCTATTGTGTTTTAACGTGCCTTTTTCAATGTTGTAGGTTCACATGCTGAAAGGTAGTGGCATTTTGGTCGAGTTGGAAAAGTTGATTGACCGAGAGAATATTCCTTCCGATTTTGGTGGCGAAGGTACAGCTTTAGGTGACTCGGATGAAGAGCATGCGTTGGCAGCACACGTACAGAAATATCTCTAAGTAGCAGCATTTTAAACTAAAAAATAAATAAATACCGTACTTGAAAGACATGATGTGCATCAAAACGCAACATAGAGATGGCTACATTAGCCTTAGGCTAAATACCTATAAATTACCATGTGTTATTGATTGGTTCAAGGATTGGTAGCATCTAATTGTATGGGATGCCGCTTATCATGAGGTGATTAGACTCCTTCGAGCCTCTGAAACATCAACTCCAGTTATAAACTGTTCATTCTTGTATTTACCATGTCATTGACAAAGCTGTATCTTCACCGAATTCTTTCTCGCTCTCGTTCTCGTCCGTCCTTATCTCTATTGACACGCAAAGTCTCTACTGAACCTGACAGTACGTTAATGCCTGTCTTATCCCTTGATGTCATGGTTGATAACTAATTGTGACAATACAGTTGAACCATTAGGTATAGTACCATCCAGTGGTGTCCTGGCTGTATCATTTGAGGACATCAGTACCGCCTCGTATCGTATTCGTGATGGAATTCAACAGACTTTATGTGAATACTCGCCATTACTGTCACAACATATGGGTATCAATCTATATCTAAAGCAAGACCATCGACAAATGACTGGCAGCTTCAAAGAACGTGGCGCTCGCAACGCGTTGCTACAGCTGACAACAGAAGAAAAAAAGAATGGCGTCGTAGCTGCTTCTGCTGGCAATCATGCACAAGCTTTGGCTTATCACGGCAAGTTGTTGGGAATTCATGTGACAGTTGTCATGCCCAAGGTAGCACCTTTGACCAAGATCATGCGCTGCCGTGAACTTGGTGCACATGTTGTGCTACACGGTGAACACATTCTAGAAGCTCGTGAAAAGGCTGAGGATTTTGTGTGCAATGAGGTACAGATAAAAACGAGATGAACTCATTGTGGTGGCGATAACGTTGACGAGCTCTTTGAATGTGTAGAATATGGCGTACATTAACGGATTTGACCGTCCAGAGATCATTGCGGGTGCTGGTACCATGGGTATTGAGATCCTGAACCAGGTGCCAGACGTTGATGCAATTATTGTGCCTGTTGGTGGTGGTGGCTTGATTGCCGGCCTCTCTCTTGCTGTCAAGACCCTTGCACCGAACGTTCAAGTGATCGTAAGTTGCTTTGGAGGAATCTGTTACTTTCAATGCTGAAATGAATAATTCTAACGTGGCTTTGTTTATTGCAGGGTGTGGAGCCAGAGTACTGCTCAAGTTTTGGAGAAGCTCTCAAGGCTGGAAAACCTGTCCATATGCCAACAAAGCCGACCCTTGCGGACGGCCTTGCGGTTCCTTGCGTTGGTGCCAATGCTTTCGAGATCGCCCGAGCCTACGTTGACAAGGTGGTGACTGTCTCGGAGCGTTCGATCGCCCTGAGTGTGTTGCGTCTCGTTGAGATGGAAAAGGTTGTTGTGGAGGGCGGAGGTGCGTCCTCGTTAGCAGCTTTGATCGACGACAAACTGCCGGAGCTCAAGGGCAAGCGTGTTGTGTTACCGCTCACGGGTGGAAACATTGACACACCTGTTCTTGGTCGCGTTATTGACCGTGGTTTGGCTGCTGATGGTCGTCTTGTCCGCTTTGTGGCTACCGTAAGCGACCGCCCAGGTGGCATCGCTCAGCTGACCTGTTTCCTGCGTGACTTCGGTGTAAGTGTCAAGGATATCTATCACGAACGCGCTTGGGTGCATGCTAGCATCTCTCATGTGGCAGTGAAGTGCGTTGTTGAGACGCAGTCGAGCGAACATGCTCTTGAGCTAAAGCAATGCCTTCAGGATAAGGGCTACCCTCTTGTCTGGGAGACTTTTGCCGGCCACCAGGGGGCCCCTGTGGAGTTCTGAGCTGATGATAGGACTTTACACGTTGATGGACCATGTTAGTAGAATGGATGATTTGTTATAGCATTTCCTCTGTGTTCTGTTCGTGTGAAGCTTGGTGTCTACATCTCCGCCAGCTCTCCAAGGTAAATGGTCTTGTCACTGCTACAGGAGCCCACAATGGGCTCTGTAGGATGAAAAGTGGCCTCATTCACGCTGCCTGTATGTCCTGGTAGATGGTAGCGCAGGTTGCCCGTCATGGCATCCCAAATGTACACGTGGCGGTCCGCGGACCCACTCGCTACAAAACGCATGTCAGCCGACCAGCCACAGCGAATGAGTGTACGGTCAAAGCTGTGCTTGGCGCCCATATATGTCGTCTTGAGACGCTCTCCCTTGACAAAAGGCCGGACATCCCACTTCCTTACTGTCGAGTCCATGGCATTAGACAGCAAGTAGCTTCCATCCGGACTGAGACTTACACTGGTCACAATGTCTGCATGACCCTGCAATACCGTGCTCACCTCATCTTTGCGTAGATCCCACAGCTTAATGTCTCCATCCAATCCTCCAGCAACCACATAAGAATTGTCAGCCGAAAAGCACACGGCCGTCACCTGAAAATTGTTTTCAAAAGATTTGACGGCACGCTTGGATCGGACGTCCCACAATTTGGTAGTGCAGTCGTCACTGCCACTCACAATGAGTGTAGGGCCACTGTTTACAGGGCAGCAGCTGTTGACTACCAACGAGTGACCCATGAATTTCTTGATGCGGTTTCCACTCTCAGCGTCCCAAAGTCCCAGTGTCTTGTCAGCTGAAGCAGACACCACGTGCATGCTGTCGTAGGTCCATTGCACCTCCAGTACTGCATTCTTGTGGCCATTCAGCTCACTGTAATTGCTGCAATCTCCATAAACGTTCCATAATAAGATGCTGCGATCAAAAGAGGACGATGCCAAGTGTTGCCCTGATGGACTGAACTTTAAAGAGTACACAGCAGCACTATGACCCGAAAGTAGCATTGTTGGTGCCATAAGTCCTGACGTCCGGTCTTCCACACGCTTGGATACCACTACCGTTGAGTCAGCAGCTACGATGTCCGTCACACGCGAGCGCTTGGCCAGCTGTGTCTCCTCCGTGGAGCACGTCAATGTCGTCGACGCGTCAGCATCTTCCTCACTATGTAGACGCTTGCCCATCATGGCAAAAAAACGAACCTAAACCGTACTTATCAAAGTAGAAAAGTGCCTCTAGTAATTAATATCTGCTGATACAAGTTACATATCTAAAAGTTCCGTCACGATGTGTGACAAAGCGTTTTCGGCAACGCCAGAGTATGTAGATCTGTGGCGAAGCAACTCGAATTTGCATTTGCTTCTAATATAGTTGTATGACTTGTATATCAACGCGTACCAGACGCATTTCGGCCCCCACCGGGAACTCGTCAGTGTCTTTGCCAATTTACAAGTGATTATTACCCGATTATCTTTCTATCTAAAAATCCATCACATCGATAGAAGCAGCTAGAAGCCTCTACAACACTCCATAAATCCGAGCGTAGGTTGAAGCTCTGGAGTCGATACCAAGTGCAGCTTGCACTTTCCAACAATCCACACACATTATTCCACCGTCAAAAGGTCGCTTGGCTCCAGCCGTCTTCATTTGCGTCCATCGTAAGCTTGACGGGACAGGCTTGCACCAATACATCATCCTCAACAAAATGTCATAGATTCAAATCGAACTCCTGCGCTGTAACGGGGTGAGTCCGTTACATAATATTGACACTTATATGAAGTGTCAATAAAAATATTATTATAACTAATAATATGTGACAATATAATATTTTTTATAATATTGTCCCTAGATCTCATTGAAGTTGGGGATGCCCTCTCATTGGTTGATATGGGCCATCATATCAACCAACGCGCTGACCAATGACCGATGGACGCGCGCAATGAGTGGAGGGCAAGTCGTCAACATACATAGTTGTAGTTTAATATAGTTAACTTAGGTTATAACAGATTAGTTTTATTAGACAGTTAACTATATTAAATACAGTTTTCTTTTCCTTCTCAACTAAGCGTTTGTTTAGTTGATTCCCTTCCTCTGCTCACGTGTACGTGAGGTAATTGAGACACCTGCTTTCACTGTAATCAGTGAAAGTAGACTATACTGTAATCAGTATAGTCGGAGGGTGCCCCATTATACCTGGTAGCACTTCGTGGTCCGTTCAGCGACCAACGCACCATCCGCTATGGAATCAGCAGGTGATGAACGTCATCACGCAACGCGTGATGATTTCCGCCATTTGAGTGACCTCGAATGGAATGCGGTTCAGCGTATGGCTGAAACCATCGGCAACCCTGCCGTTGGTGCCATGTTGCTCTCTCTTAGCGAAGACGACCAACATGCAACCAGCGCCAAGTTCATACAACATGAACTTGACGAAGTTGTAAAGAAATTCACCTTGACTACAGGAGCAAGGTTCTCAACAGTTTGACCTGTTGAGAGAACAAGGCGCTCAACAAGCTGACTAATTGATGCAGCAGGGTGCTCAACAGTCTGAACTGTTGAGACAACAGCAGGCTAGTGCTTTTGCTGCCGGGTCGACGTGTATACGTCGACCCGAGTCCTTGAAAATTGATGTCTCCAAGAACAAGGCAGTCGAAAGCGACTCCTTGTTAAGATGGTTCGTCGAGCTCGACGATGCCATTGAGGCTCGTCGCATCGATGACGATGCGATGAAGGTCAAGTTCGCCATGTCGAACTTGACAGGACGTGCCAAAGCGTTGCTGCGAAATCGCAACAACGTGGTAAACCATCAAAAAACGGCCAAGGTAAACAGGGGCGGAGCCCCCTACTGATCCAGCAACGTCAAGAGAGTTCGCGGAACTCTTGACGAGGGTTGCTCCCAACACACAGTCACTGTGTGTTGCCGCTCCCAGTGATGAGGTATCCCTCATCACTATGAAAATCGAAGTGACAATGAACATGTCACTTCGCGCCGTAGTTAATTTGTGGGGCTTCGAACAACTTTGTTCGACGCCAATCGCTAGATGGTCGTAGGCTCAAATATGTTGAGCGCGAGACCCCTCCAACGAGGATGACGGTGCGCCTTGCAACTGGCGCATCCGTAACAGTAAAGAAACGTGTAGTGGGAATTCACTACACGCTTGAAGGCAAAAAGTACGATGATGATTTCATCGTACTTGATCTGGATGACAAATTTGATGTCATCCTAGGATTACCATGGCTCAGAAGGTACGAGCCATGGGTCAGCTGGCAGCATCGAACCGTGAAGATGCCTGCCGCTTGTTCATCAGATGACCATCTGATGAATGTCTTGGAGCGTTCACAAGCGTGTGAATGTACTACGAGTGAGTGTGATGGCCTCACTTGTGGTTCGGTCGTTAGTACGACTGCACAAGAACTCAGCGTGACTGTCAGGCAGCGCCGAAGGTCCACCACTCGAATAAGTCGAGTGGACCGGGACATGAATGCTCGCCTAAAGCGCAGCATTCACCGAAGAGTAAACCGGTTGCCCAGAAGCGGCAACACGGTAATCCTAGATCAACTGGAGAGCTGATTGTAGAGGATCTCGCTGTGGTTGCGCCACCACATATAGAGGAAGTCGATGGAACAAGTTCCATCGAGCCTGCGGGAATAAGTCCCCGAAAATAATCACTGAGGGAATAAGTCCATAGTGCCCTGATGGGAATAAGTCCTCAGGAAGTAACCGAGACGTTAAAAGTCTTGGTTAATGACGGATCAAACGTAGGCGCTTATACGATTGATCTGATGAGAACCCGTTCGTTTTCGGCAAAAAATGTTGCTAACAGAAGGTCAGTCATGTACTCGTCCTCTACGACGAGCCCACAGATCTGCTTGACTTTGCCACTACGAAGATCACGCAAGAACCTTTTAGGTTCTAGCGTAGGCAACTGAGTCATCTTCGAAGTTAACTTCGGAGGCGCGATTCTCAGCAGCTCATAAATGGACGAGAGTGTCCTTGATGAGAAGACTCGGATTGAGAGAGATATATCGCAATCCTGGGATTCGCTGAAGTCAAATCATTCGTACAAGGATTTGGTCGAATTCAAGGATGTATTCCCTGAATCCGTTCCGTGCGAGTTGCCTAAGGATAAAGGTACTCGACACGAGATCGACCTTGTTCCTAGCACAAAATATTGTGTCATGAAGCAGTGGCCACTGCCTCGGGAACAGGTCGAGGCGATCAACAAGTTCTTTGCCGATCGCCTAGCTGCGGGCCATGTGAGAGAGTCAACTTCCCCTCACCGCTCTCCGACCTTCTGTGTGCGCAAGGCTACAGGAGGGTGGCGGATAGTACACGCGTTCAATAAGTTGAATGCTGCAACGATACCGGCGCAAACGCCTACAACGAGAAAGGACGTACCTATAGATGGCATGTCTAAGAGTACTATCTTTTCGTCCATGGATCTGATGGATGGTTTCTATCAGATCCTAATGCGTGAACGGGACGTCCCGTACACAGCAGTGAGCACTCCCAGTGGTATGCTCTAGGAATGGTTGGTGATGCCGCAAGGGCTTAGTAATGCACCAGCCATATTCAATAGATGCGTTATACATCTATTGAGACCGGTGCGCGAATTCGCACCGAGTTACTTCGATGATGAGTTTGTCCATAGTCGGGCTATGGACGGAAAAACAGACGTGGAAAGTCCATAGACTCCACGTCCGTAAGGTTCTTACATTTATGCGCGAGCATAAGTTGTACGCCATTCTCATGAAGTGTATATTCGCAGCTAGCGAAATACCACTTCTTGGGTGCATCGTCGGAAAGAACGGCGTACGCCCTGATCCAGAGAAGATCAAGGCGATCACCGACTGGCCAGTGCCAGTTGAAGTCAAGGGACTAAGGAAGTTCCTTGGGCTAGCGGCGTACTTGCACAAGTACTCGCGCAATTACGCCGAAATGACAGTACATCTTTCTTGTTTACTCAAGAAAAATGTAAAGTGGAACTGGAACGCTGACTGTCAGCGTTCCTTTGAACATATCAAGCAAAGCTTGATGCAATCGCCAGTATTGGCGATTGCCGATCAGGACAGACCATTTCATGTGGTCTGTGACGCCAGTGATTTTGCAATCGGCTGTGCACTGATGCAATATGATACAGACGGCGCGGAGCGTGTCGTCTGTTATTAATCGCGTCAGCTGCAACCGGCCGAGCGCAATTACCCGGTGAATGACAAGGAACTCCTTGCCATGAAGTATGCACTGGCTAAGTTTCGCGTCTATCTCTTAGGAGATAGACCGTTCATTGTGTATACAAACCATGCGTCACTACGCATGGCTGTAAATATTCCACACCTCTCGCAACGAATGGCGAGATGGTTGTCGTTCTTCGCGGAGTACAACTTCTCCGTGAAGTATAAACCGGGACGACTTAACGTCGTCGCCAATGCTCTTTCACGTCGGCCTGACCTAGAGCCGACTGTGCAATCCGACAGTGATGTGAGCACCACTGTCGCCACGCTGAGTACTAGCGTCTTGTCGTCGAGCTTACTCGACGACATTAGAAGGGCATGCGCACAAGATAATGATCTTGTACGCCTGATGGAGTACCTCAAGGACCTATCCACGCAAGCTAAGAAACGCTTGTCTGCCATGTATCGATCTTCTCTCGATCGATACACCCAGCGGGACGGCTTACTGTACTACACAGCCGTCAACAACGACACGCCTCGTGTCGTTGTACCGCCACAACATGATCTCAGGTTACGGATCATGTTTGAATGTCACGATGCACCAATAAGTGGGCATCGCGGCCGTGAGAAGACTTACCTCACGGTCAGTCGCGACTTTTACTGGCCACGTCAGTATAAGTTTGTGCGCAAGTACGTGCGTGCTTGCGAGGTGTGTCAACGAGTGAAGCCTAGTCCTTCACTCCGTGCACCATTGCAGCCTCTACCTGTTACGGCAGAGTGCTGGGAGTCCGTATCAATAAACTTCGTCTTTGGGTTCCCCAAAGACGCTCAAGGGAATAATGGTATTCTCGTGTTTGTAGACAGGTTCATTAAGATGATTCATCTTGTTGCTGTACCTGACTTGATAACAGTAGAGGGCTGTGCTCGAGTGTTTATCGATAAAATCTTTCGATTGCACGGTTTACCCCGTGAAATTGTGTCCGATAGGGACCCCCGGTTCACGGCTGAGTTTTGG